CACCAATGACATACGGTGAAGGAAAACATCGTGAGGAAACCTGGACTTATAATTTCACAATTATAAGTTTGAAATCACCAACCCGTCTTGAGCAAGCGTGGTGATTAATGCTCAAACCTTCTCCATGGCTATGCTCAGCAGTGGGCGTTCATAGGCTGATGACATATATATATACCCATGAATTGTTGTTCGTTAGTTTCACAAAAACTCGAGAATGGCTAAACGGATTTATCTTATCTTAGTCTTGAAATGTTCGTGGAGGTTCAGGGAAGGTTTAAAAGCTGAAAAAAATTAAATCATTTCCGGGAAAACCCTAAAAACAGCCCTTTTCTATTTCCCATACAAACGTTTTTTTTTGACATTAGATTTGACAACTAGCTAATATGTCAATCACTCTGTCGCATATCAGAACTCGGAGATTTATGGGTTATAGGTAAACTCGAAAAAACTTAATAAAAAATTATTTATTTATCGATTGTGGCAGTATGAAGTCTACCGGGTCAGCAAGTATGATATATAATTAAATTAACCTACTTAGTTCTAAGAGTACGACGACCAGTTGAATATTTAAACTGTTACAAAGAAATAAATAAATCACTCCTGACCAATTAGCAATAATTATTATCATTGTATGAAAACAATGAAGTTTTTTTTTTGCATAAAAACGAATTTGAAAAATCGTTAATTTGTGTAAAATAAAAATAAAATTACTCACTATCTCCACAACCTCCGCAAGGCATCTTGAAATTAAATAAAATGTGTATTTATTCAAAAACAAATTTAACCGTTCAACACGAAAGCGTTCGAATGAAAACCGCGTTGCTACGATGCACCGCCATTTATATTACACACACTTGCAAAAATAAACGCATTCAACTACAAGCGTGACCCTTATTACAATCAACATAAAGTATACATTAAGATAGTAAAATGTAACCTACTTCATACGATTTTAATAAATGCATCCTGTGCATAAAGTCTATTTTGGTATACACAGTTATATATCGTTAGGGAATCGATAAAATTTTGTTTGAATTATAGTACTGGCATTGTGTATTCTTTATTATTATTTTTTTTGATATACGAATTATTATTAGCTATAAATTTGTAAATATTTTTTAATTATTCATAAATCGGTTTAAAAATACGGCATAAATCCTTTAATTTTTTTTTTCTTTTTGTATTTTCTTTGTGAATAACTATGAATTCAAACGAGTTTTTAAAACATTTTAATGTTTATGTTTGTATATAGTTCTTGTAATTCTATATTTATTTTTATATTCTTGACAGCATCGCATTATCCATTCTAGTTTTTGTTCGCACCATAACTAAGGGCCCTGGGAAATTAAAAAAATAGTACTTGCTAGGTCTTGTTTCCGAACGAGTTTTACAGAAAGATATGACGGACTGTAATACGAAGCTATGCCAGTTTAACTTTCCATTGATTGTTTGCTTTATAGTGATAAACAAGTACTGTATAGTTATAATTCTATGTATGCCGAACAAATTGTTCTAGTCATAATTATCCTGTGGATATAATACCATTGCTAATTTTAGTGCCGTGTGCTCCTTTTTGAAAGGAGTCATTGTTTGTAGCGAAGTCTAAAGTACTTATATTTATCATTTCAATAAAACTAATTGAACATTAAGATATGTGGTAGGAATAACACTGCCATACTCTAGACTTGATACTTATAATTTATAAAACAATTTCATTAATAAATATCTACCATTAAGCTTGACGAATTAGCACAATTACCTACTATTATTATTATTACTTATATTATATTATTATTATAATGTTGGCTCCGGCTTTTGAATTTTTATTTAATTTCACTTCAAAGACGTTTATGTTTAGTTAAACCCAAAAAATTAATTTAAATTAATTATGTACATAAAATTTGATACTAATATTTAATTGATAAAAGATTTAACCATGTTTCATGTCGTACTATTAAAAAACTAAACTTAATTTTCTATAAACTGAATTCAATTAATTAATTATTCAAGCAATATAAACACAAAGTTGATAACTGTAATTAATATAAATATGCTGAATATTACAGTGCAACGAAAATCTTTTATTTGCGAGGCAAAGTCATTGATGATGGATATAGTACGATTAACGTTATAAACAAATCCTTATACCCCTACTTTCCCTACTAATATTATAAATGCAAAGGTAACTCTGTCTGTCTGTCTGTTACGCTTTCACGCCTAAACCACTGAACTGATCTTAATAAAATTTGGTACAGAAATAGAGTTGACCTTGAGAAAGAACATAGGATAGTTTTTATCCCAGACTTTTGAAAGGGTCTCTTGGAAACGCGATATAACCGAACTCCACGCGGGCAAAGCTGCGGGCGGAAAGCTAGTTATCTATATACAAACACATCGTATGGGAAACATACATTTTGATATCAATACTAGTGAAGAGAAATATTAAAATTTTTATTAAAACCTTTTTTTTATGCTTCAACTCAAACCCGTATAAGTACGGTCATCGTAAAGACGTATTGTAATCGTTTATAATATTTTTATAATGTCATTAAATAAGACATTTAAACTTTGTTGTAAAAGAATAATATGGACAGAAATAGAGATGTAATAAAAGGAGAGATGATTGAAATAAAATTTGATTAATTTGCTTTACGTTTGAATACAGAAATCAGAATTTCTATAAATATTATAAATAATTATATTAACATTAAATTTTATATATGTATAAGGCGCCTGTGTAGCGTCTTCATTAAATTTTCATTTATATAATTGCATTTCATATAATAAAGGCATTGGTTTGCAAATCGAGGTGAGGTGTATTTGTGAGCCTAGCCTAGCCTACACCTTTTTAAATAAAAAAAACGTTACTTCATGTGAGATGGATATAAAGCCTAAAGTCTTTATATAATGTTTAATATTTTAATTTTTCTTTTATCTTATATTTGTATGAAAAAACCGATCTGAAATAGGAAATAAAAATTAAAATTTCTTTAATAGCATCATTAGATCACTCTGTTAATAAATTTTTCAAGCGCCTGAAATAATATACTTTTTACTTCTAAAACAACTATTGCATTATAAATCTAAAATATGTCTTGTATGAGTTTGCATCGTCATTTGAAGTTTCCAAGTACATAGTAATTTCATTCATAAACACACGATATTACAGTGACACATTTCTCTGTTCACTAATTTTTTTATATTGGATAGTTTAAGAAGTTATAAGGTCAAATTCTTCTGTACTTATTGCAGTATGAACTATAACTATTAATTAAAAATTACATACAAAAAAAGCTGTTTTTTATGAACATGAAAAGATGCAAAAAAAATTAATAAAAATGATAATTGAGCACTCCATAACTTTTATATATGTTCCCATTTGGAGTATTATATTTTGAAATGAAAAGAGAATCTATCTTTTTATTGGTATTTAAAAAAAACATGGGGTAGAAGTAATTTACTTGTCCTACTTCGAAATATATATAAATAATCGGTCATAAAATTACTCTTAGTCAGTGGTGGCCTAGTGGTTAAGAGGCCCACCTCTCATGCATGAGGGCGCGGTTTCGATCCTGGCAAGTACCAATGTGATTTTTGCGAGTCATATGTACTTTCTAATAGTATTTAGACATCACTGATTAATGCATTCCCGAAGGGGGTTGATGTCAGGCAGGCGGCCGGTCGTAAAAACAATTAGCCAAAACTATTTACAACATGTAAGGCAGACCCTGGCTCAAGCTGGGAAATTGCCAGAAGAAGAAGAAAATTACTCTTGTAGTATATATTATGTAGATATATGTATTTATATTAATATCCTTAAATACAACGATCCATATGTATAATAACTAATAATTGAATGATTATCATAATGACCAATAAATTAATTACAGGATATTATTGAATGACCTTGATTTTCAGATTTCTTTTAAAACATTTGCACTAATCTCAAATTAATGCACAATTTTATATAAATTTAATTTACAGAAGTTCAGTAATTATTTGTAATAATTAAATTTACGGACATCTTTTTTTTTCATCAATCATAATGTTGTCAAAATATGTCCCTTTATTTTCAGTATCTGTCAAGATATAAAAATATACCGCCATCTTTTTTAACAAAACACAATATAATCTGTAATCCACAACCAAACTTTTTTTAAAACATTAGATTCTATTCCTCTATATATTTTAATTATAAAAATATATATGGCGATATTTTTTTAATGATTCATTCAGATTTCCGGAAAGGAAATGACTTCTTGACTCGAGAAAAACATAATTACCTTGTAATGTTACTCACAGCAAAAGAATGAAAATTATCGTTTTATCAATTTTAAGCCTTCACCGCATTATAATAGAATTGAAATTACAAAAGGCGTGTAAACCATTATCTTTTGTAAGGTTGCGAAGAAAAAAGTACATTGGGAATATTTAGAAACAACTTTATATTTTATCAACAATTTATCAGTTACTATCACAATGGATGAAATATTAAAAAAAATATTAGAATAACAATTTAGATTAATTGAAATGAAACCAAAAATAATAATAGTGTTATTTTATTATGATTAAGTAAGTGTATTTGAAATGCTTTCAAATTAATTGCTTTTAAACTAAACGATGAGCTAGTTACATTTAAAACATACAAATTTATTTACCAGAGCATTTAGTAACGGAAGTTTGTTGTCACTAAGATTATAAAACAAATTTCTACAAACTTTAAATGAAGTTTTATAAGGTTAGTTAGAAAAAAATTCGTGAAAAGGTGAGATTACAAATGAGGCCCTTAAACAGGGCTTATAACAAAGAATTTGGCACACCCAACGTTCCTATTTGCTATCTTATCATATTTAATAAAGATAACGGCTTGTTATTGAGAACACAATGTACGGACACTCTAGTGTGTAACAGCTTTATAGAACAACCTGTCGCTGAAACCAAATGTTATCAGTTAGATAGATAGATTTAAAATAATGTGATTAATAATTAATTTAATTAATATGGGTGTTAAAGTTAAATTGATTGTATTTGTAACTTTAGTTTTAAGTGTATACGGACAGGACGTTGTAAGTGATGAGAGGACAGTCAGTGATAAGGAAATTTCCGAAATTTCCGAAAATTCGGAAAATATCACGGATTCCATACAAAATGCGAACGTAGAGGATCCCGTAGAAGTTATATCTGGTAGTGATATAGAAATAAAGAGTGGTAAATATCAATTTGCGAACGATGGTCTTATAGGCGATGCGCCTGTTGATTTGGAAGCTGTAGACCTAAGTCCAGGAGAATCACAGAAGGAGCGACAGGTTCTAGGACCAGCAACTACAACATCTATTACTAATACGGAATATGGTAAGAAAAACATATTTTCAAAGATTTCTATGCAAGAATAAGCTAAAGAATGTTGTAGTATCTTTGATTTTATCTGATAATTCAGTTCATAGTAACAAAAATATTTTCGGAATTTGTAAAGGAATATGTAGGTATATAAATTTAATTCAATTAAATTTTATTGCGACATCATCATAGGTCACAAGATGTAAATGTCAATAGAGTCAAACGGTTGCAGTTTTGTAAACATATTATAATTATTATTTTCAATATCGTAGCTGCAATTCTTATGATAATAAAGTTAATTGTGCGTGGAGTCCCTCTGTTCGCAAAAAGCGAAACTTCGTAATGTTGGAATGAAAACAGGATGGTTTAGAAATTGATTTTTAAGGAATTCCCAGCGTTTCTTTGAAACAAACTTTATTAACACTACTTACAAGCCACAAATTAATGCCCGCATGCGTTCTAGCGCCACACGTACCCTATAACTTTGACTCTTTGTATCTCCCCCCCCCCCCCCAAACGTCAAACGTTTAACGCAAACTTGTTGGAAGTTGAATGAGATGTTTCACTTCCATTACAGTAGGTTTTTTATCCTTTTTAGCCAGACTAGCGTGTGAGGTTCGTATGAAGTCCATTGAATTTCACACATATTGATAAACATTTATTTATTTTCAAAATTTAACTTCAAATCTTTTTGTATTCTTTTAAAGCTTAATAACGGAAAAGTATTGAATATGTTTGATATCGTAGCGAAACTAAAGCGTGTTTTATATGCAGGACTAGGCCATATAATTCTTATTAGTAATATTGAATTCCCATAGACGAATAAACAAAAAAAATGTCATGAATCTCGTCAATTTTTTTAATTACTTTAATAAGTATAAGGTAATGACATCTCTGGTTATATCTTACAATATGTCGTAATTTGTAGCGTTGATTAATAGTTTATTCAAGGGCCTAGTGACTCAGACATGTGACTCAATAATTATCACGTAGTACAAACAAAAAGTTTGCGTATGATTACATGCAAAGTTCATTTACATGCAAAACAAACTTGATTGCAATTAAGCTATACCTACTATGTATAACGAATATTTGAAATGTCTCTTAATTTGGCCTCTTGACCTAAAAAAACTGATCCCAGTACTAACTCGGTGATATCATTCATATTTTAACTGTTGTAAATTTCAAAACCAGGTAGGTACGTATTCTTTATCTGCCCTGATAAGACCCTTATCATACTTAATTGGCCTGTGGCAGGTTGCTGTTAAATCTATGAGCTTGAAATAGCGTTTTTTGTACGAATTGTAATCAAAAATTATAAGTAATACTTCGAGCCGCACCTTTATATTGATAAATGCTCATCAATATATCAATATGTAGATATAAATATATAGAAGTCAGTAGTGGACTAGTGGTTAAAAGGCCCACCTCTCATGCATGAGGGCGCGGGTTCGATCCTGGCAAGTACCAATGTGATTTTTCAGTCATATGTACTTTCTAAGAATATTTAGACATCACTGATTAATGCATTCCCAAAGAGATTCGATGTCAGGCAGGCGGCCGGTCGTATAAACAATTAGCCAAAAACTATTCACAACATGTAAGGGAGACCCTGGCTAAAGCTGGGAAATTGCCAGGTAGAAGAAGAAGATATAAATATTTAATGACCTTTAATAGCAAAACTATTTTATAAGTTAAGTTTAATGTACGTTACACTAGAAATGCGTCCGCGAAATTATGAATGGATGTGAGGGTAATACAACAACTTTATTATTTGTCACCCTCTAAATAAAATCCTGATTGCTATCTAGCAAGTTAAGTTACTATGTACTTTATCAGTTACCAAATACCATTTGATTATATTTCTATATATATCTTTTGATGCTCTAAACTTCTGTGTTGGCGACAAATTCTCGTTTATATGCAAATGTAAGTACTTTTGTTTTTTTACCGGAAAAATGAATCATTAGTTTCCATATTTACGTAAAATGAGATCGTTGAATTTAGCTTATGTACTTTATTTATGAATACTATGAAACAAAGAAGCGTAGGTGATATCACTATACTGGGAATACATGTTGAATGATAAAATGATAAGTTATCATATTATCGGAATCCATCGATATTGTATTAAGCACGGGCGCGAAATATACATAAAGTAATACAGTTAAAGAGAAATTAGTAGATATTATGCCATAAAATTATATGCAACTTTTGCTATGAACCAAATTATTACTTAAATTTTTGCAAATCTGTACATTAACATGATATTAAAGTCTAATTTTCATTTAATTCCTTTTATAATAATTGTATTAAGGAACAAAAGAAAATTATGATATGAGAAAAACGGAGTGGATATATATTGAAAAGTTTATGATAAGCTATCCTCATTTTCAGGATGTAAGGGAAAAAGACAGTTATTTAGGTTTAAGAGATAATTAAACAATTTAGGGTCTTGACACGGTTTCTTAATTCTACATGAGTCATTACTCAAATCTGGACTATACTAACAAGACTTTTTCATATTTCTTTTCAGCACACATTGATGGCAGAGTCCTTCCATCAACTAGTTATCAAAACAATGGCCAACCATACGTCATCACGCAGCAGAGACTGGCTCAGATCAGAGCGAACTTTATGTACTGGTTCTACGATCAAGGTGGCAACGAAAATATTGGAGATTATCAGAGAGATATTCACACTTCAACACCACAAATACACAAAAATTTCAACTTTCAACTCCCATTCTTTGGATTTAGGTTCAATTATACACGAGTAAGTTACGCTATTGTCTAAAAATGGTAGTATTTTTAACCTATTAGAAGATTATGAAGAATTTCATTAGGTTCTATAAACGAAAAAAACTACTAAATGACGAGTGATTTTTGTCCAAGCCTAAATAATATACATACATCTACTAAAACTGACCATAATATGTACAATATTTACAGCTATCAATGAACGGTTACATCTACTTCAGCGATCCTCCAGACCACTACACCTATCCCCTGTCTTTCCCCATCAGAGATTGGCCAGCTATGAACGACCCTTCATTTATAGGTATCTTCTTCAGTAAATGTCGTATAGGAAGCCAAAGACCTGAAGACCCTGATCAAAGAAGACCTGGAGTTTACTTTAGAATGGACAGAGACTTGCAGGTAATAATAAATAAATATATTATAAAAACTTATATCATTCTAGCAAAAAGGACGTTCTAGTAAATAAACTAATTGTAGAATAGTTCTGACGTTCCTCAATTAAGCCTCAAATACATTACTTTAATTTGTGGGATATATGTTTGTTATTGTAATCAACGTAAATATTTTATATGAAAAGGAGATTTTGTTGTACATTTTCTAGACACGAACAGATCAGTTAGGTGTGGAAATGAGGGAAAGGATAACTTGGGATATAAGACAGGGTGTCATTGGCTCAGAAACTTTCTTCCCAAAACACGCTATAACGATAACATGGAAAAACATGTCATTCGCTGGAGGGATTGACAACTCACTATTTGTTGTAAGTGGAAGAAATTTTAATGCTATAAATCTCCAATATTCATATATCTTGAATATCGTTTTAATTCAGTTTGTTATTTGAAATATATTTGCAGACGAACACCTTTCAAATGGTACTAGCTACTGACGAAGTATTCACGTACGCAATATTTAATTATCTCGAAATCAATTGGAGTTCTCACACTGAAGCTGGCGGTGATACCACTACTGGCGAAGGAGGTGTACCAGCTTATGTAAGTAAAACAATTACTAAGATTCTTAAAACAATTGTTTCTAAAATTATGCTGCATACATCAAGAAGACCAATCTACGTAATTTATGAAATACTTATGTATATTTCAGATTGGATTCAACGCAGGAAATGGCACTAGAAGTTACGAATATAAACCCTATTCACAAGCCTCCGTACTTAGAGACTTGACGGGAAGAGGCTGGGCTAACGGATTCCCAGGAAGACATATCTTCAGAATTGATGAGAATATCCTCATGGGTACTTGCAATAAGGATATAGGTAAGACTTTTTTCCGTTAAGTAATCCAACAAATTGAATGTAGGAAATTAAGTTTCTTAACGTGTAAATGTTTTCTTTACTTCAAAGATGGTGCAAATCTACCACTAATGTTCGCTCCTGAGAGTGGTAATATGCTTGGTGGTACCGTCGTCAATATTACTGGGCCCTGCTTCCAACCAAACGATCGAATTTCTTGTCGCTTCGACACTGAGTCAGTTGTTGGAGCGGTCGTTGATTCTAATAGAGCTATTTGTGTTCAACCCCGATTTTATCACAACGGTTACGCGAGATTCGAAATTGCGATAAATAACGAACCATACAAATGGAAAGGAAAATTCTTTGTTGGTAAGTTATACAATTGCTTCAATTTATTTAATACATAGGTACTTAAAAGATAGCTATATGGATATTGTAAATCTTTTTTTCTCCATTTAACGTAAAAGCTTGTTTTTGATCATTTTTTGTGTGTGTTTAAGAAACACCTGGAACTGCTACCGAAAAGATATTCTTCCCTGATAACTCCATTCACGAAAGATATCCACCCGAAATACGAATCAGATGGGACAGGTTCAATTTAACGACCAACCTGAACGTCCAACTACAAATAAGTTTATGGGGCTATAAGGAAGTCACCATCAGACCTCAAATGGAATTCATTGATATGATTGAGACCGGGGTGGCGAATACAGGGGAATACGTCATCAATCCCCAAAACTTCCGCAACAGAGACAACATAATGCACAACGACATGCAATTTGGTTTTCTTCAAATCAATTTAACAACGCCAGAAATATACAAGGATGTCGCTATATCACCGTAAGTAAAGAATTTTATTTAACCTAACATGGCATTTCAAATTGAGAATAGTCTTTAAAATGTATTAATACTGATTATCTGAATTATCTCCTTTTAGTGTATTATGGAGTCGACCGATTCCTTTGGGCTGGTATTTTGCACCTCAATGGGAGCGAATGTATGGACAGCGCTGGTCGCAATCTATGTGCAACAATTGGTTAAGAACTGACAGATTCCTCAAAAATTATGCAGCACAAGTATGGGTCTGCCCATGTACATTAGAACATGCTCTTCTCGATAAAGGAAGATTCATGCCTGACTTGGACTGCGACAGAGATATCAACCCTACATGTAGATACCATTGGGGAGCCATTCATTGTGTTAGAAGCGGTGGACCCAGGTGAATGCAATATTCTCACTATTGAATTAAATGGAAATATTTTTCGCAATATTTATTTATATGAATTAAATGTTACAGTGCGGAAGGATCGGGCCAACAATGCTGTTACGACAAAAACGGTTTCCTCATGCTTTCCTACGATCAGATGTGGGGATCCAGACCTCGTCGGTCCCATGACTTCGGGTTTACTCCATATAATGAAGCTAACAAGGTAAGCTCTTCTCTTTTTATTATAAGATTGTAGGTACTTATATCAGTAACATCATGTCTTTCTTTGTTATAACACAGGTACCATCTTTGTCTCATTGGTTCCACGATATGATACCCTTCTATCAGTGCTGCATGTGGCAAGAGGAACAGGCAGTCGGCTGCGAAACGTTCAGGTAAACCAACAGTTTTACTTTATTACACAACGTTGTGATATCATTACATGAAGTTCAAAAAATTTGATGTAGTCTTTCCTGTGAGTTCATCTAATTGGACTTCGCAATTTTATCAAAAAGAAAACAATAATTTGCATTTAAATAATATATAAATAACAAATTGACAGTGCCTTCTTTCGTGTATGTCACTGATGCGATACAAAATAGAAAAGGTTCAAGTATGCTAACGATATTGTTATACACTATAGATTCGAGCGTCGACCATCTCAAGACTGTGTTGCATACCAATCACCAGGAGTAGCTGGTATATTTGGAGATCCACACATTGTGACCTTCGACGGCCTTCAATACACATTTAACGGCAAAGGTTAGTTATAATCATTTTCCAAGTAAAAATTTCAGGCCATATTCGACTTTAAAAACACATATTCTGATTACAATTGTAAAAATTTCAGGTGAATATGTCTTGGTGAGAGTTGATCGTCCACAACTGAAGCTGGATGTTCAAGGTCGATTTGAACAAGTGCCCAGAAATATTTATGGGCCGGTGAACGCAACGATGCTTACTTCCATAGTAGCCGCTTCGAATAACTCTGTTCCTATAGAGGTAATTACAGTTTTATGCCTTCAATTGATCCTAAAAGATAAAGAGAAAAATACAATTATCAATTAATTATTTATGTGGTAGGAAGTGGTTAAACTAAAAATTAACATTTTTTCTTTAGGTAAGACTTAGACCTCAGCATGCTCAATGGAGATACCGTCTAGATGTGTTCGCTGACAACAAAAGGATTTATTTCGACAGAAGCGCTCTGAGAGTTCAATATTTCCCAGGTAAAATACAAATAAAATCAACTCCTTGCAAAAAACTGCCCAAGTACGCAAAATTTATAAAATAAACCTTTTTTATTTTCAGGAGTGACAGTGTATCAGCCTATGTATATTCTTAACCAGTCGGAAATCGTCATCATGTTTTCATCGGGCGCTGGAATAGAAGTTATTGAAAACAAAGGCTTCATGAGCGCTAGGGTCTACTTGCCTTGGACATACATGGTAAGTTTCTATTAGAATTACTATTTATATATAGGTCATTCAAGATCCTGTTCACAGGTGCTCGAGCAGAGTATAGTAATATTAAAGTTGATGACACACAATAGCACAAGCTTTTATGCCATACAATGGGTATCAACAAGCTAACTAAAAATACGAGAAGCTGTATCAATTTCATATTTCAAAAACTATATAACGACATTATTACCAGCTTATTCCATTTTATTTAATTTCTGTTTTGTGTATATTTAAGAATCAAACACGAGGTCTCTTCGGAAACTGGTCTTTAGACATCAACGATGACTTCCAACGACCAGACAGCACCATGGCAGCTGTCGATTTGAACAACTTCCAATCGGCTCATAGAGATTTCGCTCAACACTGTAAGTTAAAACCTCATTAGTCATTAGTCATTTTAGTTTAAACTAATATCTCTCTCTCTCTCTCTCTCTCCGTGGCATTTTTTATTCCCATCTGATGGTGGGGTATAGTTTAAACCAATATGGAAGTTAAAATGGATTAAATTGAAAACAATTATGGTTTTTACAAAGAAGAGTAACGAATTTAGTAAGAAGAAAGGTGTCAAGGTTTAGGGTAGATACTAGAAAAGACTTTTCACTTGTTTTTTACGCTTGCATTGCAGCAACTCGGCTTAAATTTCATATTCTAACCATTTGATGATTTCAGAGTTCAGCTTAATAATAAGATATTTATAATACCTTTTGTTACGTACATAAATTGCCGTGTCAAAATTTTTATATCTCATAATCATTTCATCTTGTTCTCAGGGCAACTAACAGATAGGGAACAACCGAATATAGGGGTGGCGTTGTTTGTCAGAGAATATGGAAGAACAGCAGCGTATTACAACGATAATCAATTTATACCTAACTTTATAAGAGAACCAGTGAATTTCTTGCCAGCGAATAGATCTCAGGATGTGGCGAGAGCGACCGAGATATGTCAAGATTCTTATCAATGTCGCTATGATTATGGAATGACCTTGAATAGAGATATGGCTGAATTCACTAAGAACTATTTGTCTTCTATTGTAAGTACCAAAGTATTAGAACACTTTTTATAAGTCTTGAATGAAAAGATTTGTAATACCCATTTTATTTATCGAAAAAAACTATAACATTGTAAGGAAAAAGTAATGTTCTAATAATATCTTGTCCCTTAATAGAGATAAATACATAATCATACAATATATTCATAACAATATACCTCAGCATCATTTTTGTAATTTATGATATTTCTTTATTTAAAAAGTTTACTAATGTATAGTTTCTTTCTTAGAAATAAACTTGATGCAATTGTATAATATAGATATGAATCATGATTTAACTTAACCGTCATGGTGATTTTAATTGCGCCATAAGATTGCTAACTCCCGTTGTACAACGAATAAAGATTTAATGTTGGTATAATTGCTAATGACAAAATGTATAATAATATTAAAGAATTAAATAGGTAATCATAATTATAAAGGTATCTTCTATATATAGTGTTTATAAAAATTTGAGGACTTCATCATGAGAAATAGTTGCGTGTGTAGTTAGTGGCTCATGATGTCTATTGTTTGTTAATTACATAGGACCATCAACTATCAAGGTCTTAGTAAAGGGACTTAAAGAATATTCAGTCTTACGTTAGCTCTTGACAAAAACTCCGTTTCCTATAATACATGGGGTTTTATTTGTTAAAAATTTGGTTTGTTTAGACAAATATTAAAGAGCAGAATGCCCGTCGAGTGATAAGTTGCGGAGTTTTGGAGACACCACGATTTGGACGTAAAAGTAACTTTTTCTTCACGCCCGGCACGAGAGTAAGTAAAAAATAAGATTTGATGTTTTTAGTAATATTTATGGATAATTAAAAATGATGATTTGTTTGTTTAGGTGAACTTCGAATGTAATCAAGACTTTATTCTAATTGGTGATAAAAGACGTGTGTGTGAAGACAACGGAAGGTGGAATTTACCAGATTACGGATACACTGAATGCTTACGTGAGATATTACTTTATTACCTTATAATATTAAAAAAAAAATATTTTAAAACTATGTAGAACTTCACTAAAGTACATTTTTATGAACAGGTAATCAGGAATATTCACAAAGAGCGTTGTTCTTGACGTGGGGCATCATAGTGGCGATTATTGTACCATTAGCACTCCTCATTTGTCTGCTTTGGTTCTGGTGTTATTACAAACCAAAGTCCGAAGGCAAAGATACATTCCGTTTCGAAGACATACCGCGGTCTAAATCGGCTTCGCGCCTCAATCTTAGGTCGGCATCGATGGGGAATATCACTGATACTATGAGATCCTCAACCATGCATAGCCAGGATACTGACAAACCAAAACTCCCTGACACTCCCACAGAAATAACCCCTATGACAACCAATGTAACTAGAACCGCACCGCTCCCTCCCGAACCTTTAGACGGTGAAAGTTCAGGTATAGGTTATACTGATTCAAATAAAAGCGACAGATCTGATAAATCCAAAAAACGACGCGCTTATGACAAAACCTACAGAACCAATGAACCCCTACCCAACGCCCCTGAAGTAGAATTTCCTGAAAAGCAATGGGATTTGTCAGAGGAAGACCTGCTATCCCTTACAACTCCTTCTGAAACCGAATCTAATCGTGATTCTACATTAACGAGACCTGCTAAAGACATCAAATATTTGAGTCGCCCTCGCCAAACTGGTCGTCACGCTTTGCAAACTGACTCTGGTTACTCAACTAAAGATGGTTCAGAAGATCCATACTCTCCCAAATACGACGGTCAATACAGTCCTATACCTTCAGCATATTCTCCTACTTATTCTGAAATTTACTCTCCACCTATCAGTCCTACATCTGATAACAGTCCAAGGAATACTTACAATAATCCTGGCTTGCCGGAACCTCCAAAGAGCGCTCCTGCCACTGAAATAAAAACATTCACAATGCCTCCGAAGAGAGGGAAATCTATAGAAACACTCATTGACCCTCCTACGACAGAAATGCCATCATTCAGTCGATCTACTATGGTATAAAAATGTCTTTTAGCAATAAATTAAAGTTAATAATAATTTTTTATTGCAAATAAACTTGTGCGACAGTTGTCGTATTAAATCCCACTGAGTTATATAAGTAAGCACTGCCCCTGAGAATGACAATTATGGAGTATAGGGCCAGACGTTTTAGTGTTGCTCCCTTATATAGAATTTTATATTTTTTCTTTTTATTATTGCTATATATTCCATATGTACGATAGGTATATATTTTTGCACCTAACTAAATGTTTTGCACTTAATTATAATAGTATTGTATATATTCGTAGTATCGTGATTTTCCCCGATGTCATAAAAAGCATTGTTAATGTAAATTAGTTTTAATATTGTTATAAAATATATTTATTATAAATCTATAAATATCACGGAGTGAGGAAATTTCTGTTCTTAAAGGTAGAATAACTTCCGCTATGGTGTTTTAAATATATTTATATAAGAAAGCAAATAATAAAGTTGCCACGTATTAGTGGAATAGAAATTTTCTCGGTCATGTGATGTGTTTTTCATTTTGTTTTTTTTCTAAACCGCTGTATTACTTGCTTTCTTATCAATGTGTACACAAAATATTTGGGTCACAGAAAACTGAACAGGTTGGTAATATTTTTTTATTTATTCTTTCAAGATAACGAGTTATATTTGTGATAGCTATTATCTATGATGCATCGTTTTTATTACAAAATTATTAAATACGACGAACCCTGATAGATAACACGTGGAACAATTTTAATTTACGTGTAGAATTTTTCTTAGAAACAAATATTATTAATAGTTTTTTTTAATTATTAGATTTTTTTACGAACAGCATTTCTTAAAAGAATTTAAACGAAAAAAAGTAACCATGAATTGATTAGATTATATTATTAAATTTAATTTTATTTAATAGATAATAAATTTTTACTGTCTGATTCCAAGATCACAAATAGAAGTAAAAACCTTAAAATGTTCAATATATTCCACGATTCTAGTGCGAATGAAGCCATAGCATAAAATAAAAAGAATAACGAATCTAAAACAAAAGCTTGAATATGGCAATTAAGAAAATAATACTTAAACATCTTTAATAAGTAGGTTATATATTAAACAGATAATTGCTGGCAACAAAGTTTAATTTTCTTTTTAATTATTTCCTATTTAGGTAACCAGGAGTACTCCGCGCGCACCTTGGGCGCTACTTGGGGCATCATCAGCGCTGTAATGATACCCATCGTTATTGTACTGATCTGTATTGGTTGGCGTGTTCTGAAGAAGAGAAAGGAAGAAGAAAATGAGGAAAATGAATTCATGCCGATCAAGTAAGAGATTTAATGAGATCTAAGACTATCACAAGTACCTATTCATTTGAATAGAACTAATATTTTCGGATTTACGACACGTTCTTGCTGAAATGCAGCATTTTCATCTCGTCTGCAAGTGATCACGGTTGCTGCAAAGTAATCAAAACGTCGGTAATCTTCCTTCTTCTACCTGGCAATTTCAAAGCTTTAGCCAGGGTCTGCTTTATATGTTGTGAATAGTTTTAGCTAATTGTTTTTACGACCGGCCGTCTGCCTGGCATCAACTCTCTTTGGGAATGCATTAATCAGTGATGTACATATACCCGGAAAAATCACATTGGTACTTGCCAGGATCGAACCCGCGCCCTCATGCATGAGAGGCTTGCCTTTTAACCACTAGGCCACCACCGACTAATCAAAACGTCGGGAGTGTGTAGTTTAAAACAAAAGTAAATACGAGTGTAATAAAACCGAAAATATTACTTTTATTTAAAAGAATAATAATTTTATGTTTCTTACAACTCAAATGATAACTTCTACATAACCGTAGACAAAAATATGTAAAAATAATTTCATATTTTCAGAACTCGTTCCATAGATCCAGACGAATCGTTTAAAGTTAATTCAGACGATGAATCCATCCCTTACAAGAAAGAGATCAATGAAGACAGCCCTGAGCCGACGGAAGCTGTCAAAGTCACTGACATTGACACTGACAGCTACCCATACAATCAACAATACCAGAACAATGAACCACAATACCAATACCAACAAAAGCAACCATTCCAGACATTCCAGCAACCTAACCAAGCACAAACACAGAATAATCAACCAGAAACTAAGCGAGCTTGGTCTGGAGAAACAGAAATTAATTAGATATATCTAAAAATTGTTTTTTAGATATATCTAATTTTAATTTAATTTTTTTGCTCTCATATCTTTGCTTTTTTAAAATATTTGTAACTAGAATTTTTTTTTTCTAAAAACATTTGTGCAGTGCGCACATTGCTTTAGTAATCGTTTTATAAGTTTAAATTATATTAAAAATATAATAAGATCCCACCTTAATAAATTTAATATTTTTATTGTAATGTCATGACAATTCATTGGCATAATTTAATTCATATACTTAATATATATTTTTTGTGATTGAATTCAAACTTTTTGTTACTTCTCTGTAATTGATTACTTAATAAAATATTAAAAACAGTATGGATTTTTAATGACTAAATAATACAATACATCATGTAAAGAAGAAAATCCTCCATCGTTCATTCCATATATGATTAACTATAACGTTTAAAGGTCTTTAGTGAAGACAATCTTAACGTTTTATATCGCCATTTTAAATTATTATTATTATAAGTAACCATCAGAGTGTTTATAAAGTAAAGGATGTAAGTAAAGAGTGACTTCAATACAAGATTTTTCAATAATGATTCATTGTACTACTACAATTAAGATGTATAATATGCATGAGTAACTCTAACTTATGCGATAGACTACGATTGTACAGTACAGTATGTTTATTAAGTTTCAATCATCACGAAACATACGAAGTGTTACAAGTTTTTCATTGAATAACCTACGTTAATACTATAATTTATAGAAGATATATGAATAAAAAACTATTAACGCTCCGTATGTTGAATGACGTTGCCTAAATATACGGAGAATACAGATCAGGTCAAACCATTACGTGTATTATAATATTGTCCTTTCAAGTCTATTTATGGAGTTTTATGTCAATTGAAGAGTGTATCGATTAAAAATTATAATGGTATAAAATTTAGATTGATGCTATAGTTGCAACCTCTTATAAAAATATACAACTACGTCTGTTAAGTGAAACTCTTATAGTTCAAATGAGTCAATCAAAACAAAGTTAGTTTCGGTGTCACACAAAAAGAATTTGCATGCTTTATAAGTACCTATGTATTGTGACTATGGTATACTGATGGCAAATCATCTTTGTTTTAGAATATCAGTTCATAGTTTCTCTTGCATATAGTTATTGATCGAGGATCAAACAACAAATCAATCAATCATTCATATAAATTAATATAATATTATATGGTCAATCGTCAATATTTTAAAAACAGAAATATCTTTGTTAATTAATAGAGGATTTTAAAGTTTCCACCAAAAATTCCAATGATTTTCATTTATTCATGAATTAACTATAAAATATTATAAAAAGTATAAAATTCGGACTATGTAATTATTTTTTAATAATATTAGCAACGCCGTCAACATCCAACAAACATCCCAATAGTTAAAGATTCAAGAATATAGATGGCGCCAGTGTAACCAACAAAAAACTAATTGCCTTTTATATCTATATATATAAAAATCAATGCCACTTTTCGTTGTAATTCCATAACTCAAGAACGGGCTCACCTATCCAAACCAAATGCTTAGGATTTGGTCGGCATATTTAGTAGATGGTTTATGTGAAGTTTGCACAAAATCGGTCGAGCGGTTCCTCATTTGTCACATTTTTTGTAATAAATGAATTCAATAGAAACTTTTTTCACAGAAACTTTTTTTAAGTTTTGTTGACAGGACAAGCACGTTGTTATGTCATTCATGCCGTCAATTCATTTTGGACGTGGTTTGATTAAATCATATTATCAGCGATAAATTTCTTTTCACATAATTGCATTTGCAGTGCATTCATACAAACGGTGAGTCCTGAATTTATGTATACTTTTCTAAGTTGCCGTATATGATTTCACATGGCATCATATGCGACAGCTTCTTGGGAATTTGTTTTTTTTTTTTTTGTTCTAATTTTTTTTTTTTCGATTTTTAAGCGAAAACATATGTGCATACGGGAAAAATACCACCAGCCAGACGAGCAAATATAGGTCGGCGAACGCGTAATGCAAATGATGTGGCATTACTAAGACGATCACAGACTGCAGATGAACGCGCACAAGCTAATGCATCGCAGCGTGAACGTAATGCACGCAATAGACTTGTTAACCCAGTACCTGTACTGAATCTTGCACGGCCATCACGAATACGTCGTGCTGTTTTGGCTGAAATGATGCGTGCTGCTTTTAATTACAACAGTCAGATTGATTATAGTATGTATGGATACATTGGAATGATGGACGCAATATGTCCACATTGTGATGCGGCTAACTTTCGAGGTGAAACACCCGGCATGTGTTGTGCTAATGGCAAAGTGAGATTGCCAGCATTAGAAACTCCACCCGAACCATTGTATTCATTTATTTTTGGGACATCGCAAGCGTCGAAGCACTTTCTGAGTCATATTCAACAATACAATTCGGCATTTCAAATGACTTCTTTTGGTGCAACTAAAATTATTAGAGATAATTTTATGCCGACGTTTAAGGTAAATACTTCAACAGGATTATTCCATGTTTGTATCAATCTGAAGCATAAAGTATATTTAAAAAAAAAACTGATATAAGATTTACCTAAAATTGTATACATGTTACAGATTCAGGGCCAGATTTATCATCAAGCTGGTTCGTTATTGCCATACCCCGACGCTGATCATCAATTTTTGCAAATTTATTTTATTGGTGATGAAAATCGTGAATTAGATCAACGTTGTGCAATTGTTTCGAATACAAGACGAGAAATTATTCGTGAGCTACAAAGGTTTTTCCATCAGCATAACGCATTAGTTCAATTGTTTAAAATTGCTCTCGATCGTATGCCAACTGATAATCACAAAATCGTAATAAGAGCTGATAGAACACCTTTTGGAGAGCATGCAAGGCGATTTAATGCACCAACAATTGATGAGGTTGCAATTGTAATTCTTGGTGATCAGTTTCAATCCCGTGATATTGTACTTCATCGTAGAAATGAGCAATTGCAACGTGTTTCGGAACTTCATCGTAGTTACGATGCATTACAGTACCCAATATTGCATTGGAAAGGTGACGATGGTTACCATATCAATATACCAATGATTGATCCACGAACAGGTAAATAATTGACCTATTTTTAGTGTGTTGACATTTCATTTCTACAACTTTCTAAAGTCACATTTTGTAATTATTATCAGGTCTACATATACAGAAAAAAGTTAGTGCCATGAATTTTTATTCGTATCGATTGATGATTCGTCCACAAGAACAAAATTATATCTTAAAATGTGGTAAACTATATCATCAGTACATCGTTGATATGTATGCCAAAATAGAGACTGAACGTCTTAATTTTATTCGTTTCAACCAAGCAAAATTAAGATCCGAAGAATATATTCATTTGCAAGATGCGATAGCGAATGATGCTAATGTTAATGACATCGGACGTTTAACTATATTGCCATCTTCGTATATTGGTAGCCCACGGCATATGAACGAATATGCACAAGACGCAATGTCTTATGTACGAAAATACGGTCGACCGGATCTGTTCATTACATTTACATGTAATCCGCAGTGGGATGACATCAAGAACAATTTATTTGAAGGCCAGTCGACAACTGATCGTCATGACATTACAGCACGTGTTTTTCGGCGAAAATTGACAGCACTTATGGATTTAATTGTGAAATTAAGTGTATTTGGAGAGGTGCGTTGCCATATGTACTCAATCGAATGGCAAAAAAGGGGATTGCCGCACGCACATATATTAATTTGGCTGGTAAATAAAATAACTCCGGATCAAATCGATAACGTTATATCAGGTGAAATTCCTGATCAAACTGTTGATCCTGAGTTATTTGATGTTGTCGTTAAAAACATGATACATGGTCCGTGCGGTGAACTAAATATGAATTCGCCATGTATGATTGATGGAAAGTGTTCGAAACGATACCCAAGACAATTGACTTCAGACACAATAACGGGCAATGACGGATATCCGTTGTATAGACGTAGATCACCTAATGATAATGGCAAAACGGCAAACATTAGAATGCGTAACCAGGACGTTGAAGTTGATAATCGTTGGGTGGTTCCGTATTGTCCATTATTATCGAAAATATTCAAGGCTCATATAAATGTGGAGTATTGTAATTCAGTCAAATCCATTAAATATATTTGCAAGTATGTAAATAAAGGGAGCGATATGGCTGTTTTCGGTGTAGCTGGTGATAATAGAAATGATGAAATTACTCAGTATCAACTGGGGCGCTATATTAGTAGTAATGAAGCTGTCTGGAGGATTCTGTCGTTTCCAATGCACGAAAGACATCCTGTGGTTGTTCACTTAGCTGTGCATCTTGAGAATGGCCAACGTATTTATTTTAATGAAGCAAATGCATTGGAAAGAGCAGCACACCCACCAGCGACTACGTTGACAGCTTTTTTCAAATTATGCGAAACTGATACATTTGCTAGAAATTTGATATATTCCGAAGTGCCTCAGTACTATACATGGAATGTGTCTTCAAAAAAATTTCAAAGACGTAAACAAGGAACAGCAGTCGATGGGCATTCAGGCATTTTCAAAACAGATGCAATTGGGAGAATGTATACAGTACATCCAAACAATGCTGAGTGTTTTTATTTGCGATTGCTATTAGTTAACGTCAATGGCCCAAAATCATTTCAAGAATTAAGAACAGTCGACGGTCATTTGTGTCAAACATATCGTGAAGCATGTCAACTCTTGCATTTGTTGGAGGATGATGCACGTTGGGATTCAACACTTAATGATGCATCTACGTCAGCTCATCCACAACAAATACGAATGCTATTTGCCATTATATTATCGACATGTATGCCATCAAATCCACTTGAATTATGGAACAAATATAAAAATTATATGGCAGAAGATATTTTAATTCGTATGCGTCATCATGCAAGAAATCCTGATTTGTTGATTACCTTGGAAATGTGCAACGAAGCTTTGATAATAATTGAAGATATATGTCTAACGATTGCAAATAAAGCATTAGTACAATTGGGTATGACCGCACCAAATCGTCCCATGCATGATTTGTTTGATCGTGAATTGCAACGTGAGCAGGAATTCAACTGTAATGATTTGCGTTTATTTGTACAATCGAATATAACCAAATTAAATATTCAGCAAAAACATGTATATGATACAATCATGCAAGCCGTTTCCAATAATGCAGGTGGATTATATTTTTTGGATGCACCTGGTGGCACAGGTAAAACGTTCGTTATATCATTGATTTTAGCGACTATTCGATCAGATCAGAAAATTGCACTAGCACTTGCATCTTCGGGAATTGCTGCTACATTATTAGAAGGTGGTCGGACCGCACACTCTGCATTAAAATTGCCATTGAATGTACAGGTGATTGAAACTCCAACTTGCAATATATCGAGAAATTCTGCTATGGCAAAAGTTCTGCGATTAACGTCAATTATTTTATGGGATGAGTGTACAATGGCGAATAAAAAATCACTAGAAGCATTCAATCGAACAATGCAAGATTTACGTGGTAATCAACAGCTTTTTGGTGGTGCTTTGATATTACTTTCAGGGGATTTTCGTCAAACATTGCCTGTCATTCCTCGATCAACTCCTGCTGATGAAATAAATGCCTGCTTGAAGTCATCAGTTCTTTGGAGATATCTACAAAAATTGACACTAAACATTAATATGCGTGTTCACCTACAAAATGATCCAGCTGCCCATGAGTTCTCAAAACAATTGTTAGAAATTGGTGACGGCAAAATACAAATCGACAGAACCAACGGATTGATCGCTGTACCGAACAATTTTTGTACAATTGCGCAATCGATAGATGAATTGATTGAATGTGTTTTTCCGAATATTGTTCAGAATTACAGAAATCATGATTGGTTGACAGAACGCGCCATTTTAGCACCGAAAAACATTCATGTCAATGCAATTAATTTTCAAATTCAAGCGAAACTGCCAGGCGTAGTCACGAAATATAAATCAATTGACAGTGTTATGAATCAAGATGAGGCAATGAATTATCCAATTGAATTTTTAAATTCATTGGAGCCGGCTGGTATGCCACCGCATTGCTTGAATCTGAAAGTTGGTTCTTCGATTATATTATTGCGAAATATTAATCCACCAAAACTGTGTAACGGAACCAGATTGGCAGTGAAAAAGTTATTGCCAAATTTGATTGAAGCTACGATCTTAACTGGTAAATCAAAAGGAGAAGTTGTTTTGATACCGCGTATACCTATGATTCCAACTGATATGCCTTTTGAGTTCAAACGTTTACAATATCCTGTGCGTTTATCATTTGCGATGTCCATCAACAAGGCCCAAGGTCAAACACTTCACGTTTGTGGTGTGAATTTGGAGGAACATTGTTTTTCACATGGCCAGTTATATGTTGCCTGTTCCAGAGTCGGTACCCCCAGCCGTTTGTTTATTTATGCTCAAAATGGAAAAACAAAAAATATTGTTTATCCAAATGTTTTGGATTAAGTGTGTTGTAAATAGCTAGCAATTGATTTCGATTTTAAATAAAATATTTTTTTGATTAAATAAATGAATTTGATGTTCCGATTTGTTTATTTTATTTCACTTTATACGTAGCGAAGCACGTACCGGGCCGCTAGTTTCGCATATTTGCAATTTCCATTTTACATTTGGATTTTCGTAGCGTTTAAGTTATGCTCTGAATTTTGATCCTGGATATCTTTTTTAAAAACGACCTGGCTTACAGTTGAAGACTTTCAATTTGCTTTTTTATTGAACTTCATACGAATTAACCGATGCCTGGATTTAATGTTTTTGAGTTAACCGTGAATACCATTGGATTTGTGTAACACAGAAAACTAACAACTTAATATTTCCGTTTTTTTCAATTATTCAGTTAAACTCTCAACTATTTAATGAAGAATGTTATCTTTAAAAAAAATTTAACAACATCGACTATGCCCTGATGTATAATTAAAATTAACATATTATACAAAATATTTTCCTGCTTCAGGCATTTATAATTTAATAACGGTTTCAAATTATAAAGGCATGAAATAAAAAATAAATCATTCCCTAGATTTCTCCTCTAGCAAAATATGATTGTCACATTATTGTACTTCCACCTAAGATCTAGGTGGTAGAGCCTAGCTGGTCAAGTAACTACAACTCGAACATTGGCTGGCACGATCGGGGAAGTACCACTCTCTCACAGAAGATCGGCTTAAAATAGTCATTAATGACTGCGTTTCGTCCGATGAGTGCGATTGCCGGTTGCCCTTACCCTGTTCCCACCCTTTCCTGCCATTTCCTTTCCCTCTCCCCCCCCCCTATTCTTGGTAAGGTAAGCTAAGGCTGGTACGCACCCGCAACAGCGATGTTGCGGATGTCCATGGGTGACGGTGACTGCTGCCTATCAAGCAGGCCGTCTGCTCGTTTGCCATCGTTCACAGAAAAAAAGATCGTGTACATGGGTCATACTTCCCATGCCTATTCTGTACAACAAAGGCCCATTAGAAATAATTTTTTATCACTGCGAAGAAGAACTAACAGATTAATTTCAATTAGGAATTCGGTACCAATTAAAAGTAATATATTATTCTCATCCTTTCAAAGATTTTAGAAGTATCATATCCTAATCACAATTCAATTTGGTTTAAATAACTAGACTTTCTGATATTCAGAATAATTGACAAGTGAACTGACGTGTGGTATCGGCAACTGTCAGCTACTTTACCAATCTTCCTAAAATATTTCCAATACCTTTTTTTTGAGCTGTCCTAAGTTTCTTAATAATTCTATGATGTAAAATATCTGTTCATATTTGTTTTTCTGTAAATTTACACGTTACAATAAATAAAATTTGTCTCAAAATGGTTTCTTTTCTAATATGAATTAGATATAATGCAATAAATTTTTAAATATGTATTATGGATAAATGTATATTGTTTTAGATTTTTTAATAATATCTCCCTTAGTATCAAGAACTATAATAAATCGACGAATATCGTATCTTTTTCATACAACATAAGTAATATTAGGGAAATAGAATGAAAAAACAAATATATTCTATTGAAGAGAGTGCATGTTTTCGCACGTAGGAGAACCACAAATGTTATATTGAATTGACATTGACATGTAGTTTTGTACAAACATTGGATAAATTATTGTTATTTATTAATGCCTTTTACAAATTAAAACTAATTGAAGGAACTATCAACGCAAATTTAATAATACAGTAAGTGGTTATAGATTGGAACGTAGCATTTCAATGTTTAAATAAAGTCGTTTAATTATTTACACTATAGAAAACCGTCTAATATCTACAGTATATTTGGTGAATTGTGTTAAATATATTGGTAACGTATTTTTAAATATATATTGACCGCATAGGGTTCGGGTATTCAAACGAATATATAAACATATTGAAATAATTTTAAAAACGTGTTACATTAAATATTAACATTGCATATTAAATGAAGTTTGTAATATTTATCACCTCAAACTTAAAATAAACTATTTTAGATGGGGAAAATAGTACAGAAAAGGTACTTTATTATGTGAAAATTTAGTTTTCTTTTTATCGTGTCATATCTGAATATATTAAGATTATGTAACAATCATAAATCATTCTGATTCAAGCTTGTTGACTTGTATTCATATAAAAAAACCTTACATTATATGATACTAATTAAAATCATTATAGCTTTTGTACATATGATAAAATAATTAAAATTTCTAGTTTCAGGATAAAAATGATCTAACAAATATGAAAGAAATATCATCATCTGAAATCAAAAGTGCATTAATAATAATAATGACTTTAAAATGAATTTCACATCAAAAAATGTCTTCACTTGTCTATTTTTTCGACCCTGGCTAGGCGTGCCGTTGGGTATATGGGTGGCTGTGTCCATTGTGTATTATTGGTGGTTAATATCAAGAATTGATGTACTGGAAACGGAAAATAAAGTTATAAAGAAGCAATTATCATTGAGTAGCATTCATGATGTTGTAGACAGAGCTACCAGTTATTCTGTACCTGAGGTAAGTTTTGATATATTCTCTTTTAATTTCTTGATTACATAAATGGTCATTTTGCTTTATTTAAATTTAGAATAGCCTTATAATTGACTGTGAAACTCATATAAAGATCGATCAATTCCAAGGTTTTGGCTTACTTATGTTTTTATTTCTGTGTCAATGTATTAATTTAAAAAAATAATAACTATGTTGAAATTACACTAAGAATATAATTCTTTAACATCTTAAATAATTATACTATAACACAACATTTAAAGATTCACATATTTCTTAATGATTTAGCAAATATTAAAAATTCATTTAAGAAAAGAAATGCTTTAAAAAAACATCAACATCATTTTGGTGTATTTGGTTAATAAAACTGCATTTGATGTTTACCCTATCTACTTGTACTTTATTACAGCTTAAAGGATTTATGTGTGAAAAAATACTTTCTACTTACTGGAAATTTGACAATATTCTAATAAGATGAAAAAATAGCCTCTAATAAAGACACATATACAGTAGAAACTCTATTAACCAGACTAATTGTTGTCGATAAGCATTCGGATTGTTTGAAGAAAAGCCGGTTTTGTGAATATGTAGTACATAATATTATATGTTTATTTAAAAAATAAATTACAATATGTATTTGGTAATTTGCAATTGGTTATCATGAATTATAATAATAAGTATAATTTGGTTGTATATTTGCTAATTGTCATTTAACAGATGCCACTCTCAACAACACCACTCTCTTACACTTTTTTCTTGTCGGGACTTGTCCGTAGTCCGAATAATCGCGAATCTGTTTAACTGAGGGCCGGATAATCGAGTTTCTACTGTATACAGATATTAGGAATAAATGTATATAAGATATATTTGTGTTATATAATAGTATCTATCTATAACTTCAGATCCCAGATGCTATTGGTACTCTCTGTGAAACGGTCCACATAGCTTTGGTATGTATGGGGAAATGCACTCGTAATATAACACCAATGTTGAAGTCGCTCTTACATCATCGGCAGAATCCAATACATTTCCACTTCATAGTCGGCCCTGGATCAATGCAGACTTTAAATAAACTGTTCGAAACTTGGGACCTGCCTGATGGTGAGTATAACGTTGTACAGTTAGCAAGAAAATACTGTATACATTTCTAACTAAATACTTTTCGAATGTTATGATATAATTGTCAATTTACAGCTTAGAATTTAAAATATCCCACAGTGATATCTGTTAACTATTGTAAAATGATTTGTTTTAAATATTTTAATTGGTGTAATGATCATTTTAGTGTGGAAAATAACTTTAAACTAAACTTAATAATCTTATAAGGTACATATATTAATAATTAAAATATAATATATATAATATGAAGTTTTACAACGTTTATATACTTTGTATGATGAAAACTCCTACTTAGAAATAAATGACCTACCAATTTTATTGTAATACATGTTTCAAATTTATTGATATTCTATATACATGATGATTTGATAAAGTTAATTTATAATTAAGTATAATAAACATAATCCACAGTGAAATACACTTGTTATGATGCCCAAGATCGTCTATCTGAAGTCAAATGGATTCCAAATAGTCATTATTCTGGTGTATATGCACTCGTCAAACTGCTATTCCCCAGTATATTGCCGAATGAACTGGAACAAGTTATAGTACTGGATTCTGATCTAACATTCCTTTCTGATGTTTCTCAACTGTGGCACATGTTCAGAAATATGACAAGCATGCAGGTAACATTTATTTATATCTATATATAAAAGAGATTTCCACCTATATATTGACTCATCACGATATCTCTGGAACCATAAGGCGTAGCGAATTGAAATTTGGTAGGATTATTCCTTTTGCCGAGTAGAGGTCAGCTAAGAAAGGATTTTACGAAATTCCACCCACAAGGGGGATTGCGGGGGCGTTAACAATGGAAAATACACTTTTACATCTAAACCACTGAACTGATTTTAATGAAATTTGGTAAAGAGATGGAGTTAACCTTGAGAAAGAACATGGGATAGTTTTTATCCCAGACTTTTGAAAGGTTCTCTTGGAAACGCGATATAACCGAACTCCACACGGGCGACGCTGCGGGTCGAAAGCTAGTTTATTATATTTACTATGTTCTTTAATAGGTTAGCCAAATAAACCAATTCTAATATTAATGATACCTATTAAATAATATTTGTATAACATCTTCTCTATGTGTTTATAAAGTATATAAAACTAAATAAATACAGTTGCTACTATAGTTTTAATCTCTTTGGGATATACCATTAGAATTCTTATGAGTTTATTTCAATTTTATGAGAATCACTTCATCAGATTTGGGGACAAAGAAACTACTCCAAGACCTATCGGTTAAAAAATGGGCCTTGAAAATCAGTAGTAATAGCAAAATAAACATTGAATTGAGAAATATGCACATGAAAACCTCAAAATATATTTTGGAAACCAAACTAAGATCGCCATATCAATATTTGTTGGCAATTCGAATCTGCGGTTCAAATTTAAACCGAATTTGACTTCGCATTTTCGTCTAATTTCAAACTGATAACTTATTTAGTTATCTTTTTTCAGTTCATTGGACTTGTTGAAAACGAAAGCAACTGGTACACAAATCAACAAACAAGATGGCCGGCGTTGCGACGCGGTTACAATACGGGTGTCATGTTATTAGATTTATATAAAATAAGATCATTAATAAGTTGGACGACTGTTTGGCAGAAGACTGTAAATGAAAATCTAGATAGACTGAAAACAACTGCTTTGGCTGATCAAGACGTTATAAATGCTATCATAAAGAGCCATCCCCATATAGTCTATGACATTAGCTGTCAGTATAACGTACAAATGTCAACTCAGACATTAGCAAAAAACTGTTACGGTGAAGACGTTAAAAATATTAAGGTAAATTATACTTAATATATCTCAAATATAATGCAATTATGTTCAGAAATGCTGATGTTATAATTATTTAATGTTATTTTTATTGTTTCAATGTGTATGATGAGATTTCACTATCGTATTCTAAATGTTAGGATAAATAATACTTTTGCAATATCTCAAAATATAATCAATTACTTTCAGAAATGCTATTTCAATAATGATTTAATATTCTAAATATATAATAACTAGCTGATCCTGCAAACGTTGTTTTGCCATTTAAAAAATAGGTGATAAAAAAGTTGAGTTTTTGAAAATTTTGGATTGTATGTATTTTTTAATAATACATTATAAAAAAAATTAAGGGTGACCAACTCTTATTACTTAGGGGTATGAAAAATGGATGTTGGCTGATTCTCAGACCTACTCAATATGCTCACCAAATTTTATCAAAACCAGTCCAGCCGTTTCGGAGGAGTTCTCTATCTAACACTGCTACACGAGAATTTTATATATAAGATGTCATTTTCTTAATCTATAACAATATCTTAAAGTTTCTATTAAATTTGTTAGTTTTTGTTTTTTATTTAATAATATGTTAAATTTTTATCAGCACCTAATCTGAACATATGCATCGTAACGATTATTTTATTCATATTTATAATTGAAGGTTTAATATTGAATACCTCTTTTCAGATATTACATTGGAATTCTCCCAGCAAATACAATATTCGTATCCGGGACGCTGATTATTTTAAAAACATTCATCAATCATACGTTAATTTTGATGGTAATTTGTTGAGAGAGAAGTTGCATCGCTGCTCTCAAAATGAAGTTGTTACATACAAGGTATAAATCTAATACTATATCTTTAAACATATGATAGGATAAATGTTTGAATGTCTATAAAAGGCAAAATTTAGTTATTTTAAAGGAATTCTTTTCACAGAATTATTGCACATACAAATGAAGATATAGCATTCTAAAAATATTCATCAATATTTCAATGTAAATGGAACCAAAAATCCCTTAAATGGAAAATCCTCTTTACTTGGATTCAACAATTGCTGCAGACTAGATTGTTTCATATAATTATCTTTTTCTGTTACATTAAGAATAAATGAAAATACTTTCACAGTGTTAGTATTCCAAATATGTGGTAATAAGCCAAGATTAACAGTAGACATATCTACACATAAGTAGTTGAATAAATTAATAATAAATTATATAAAGTAACAATCTAAGTCTAAACAAGACCAGTATGCAGAGGCACTAAATACCAAAGGACCCTAACCTTGAAATTATAATCATTTCCAAAGGTTCATAAATTTATTTTTCCCATAAACCATTTGAGAAATTTACATAATTGTGTTGGACCAAATGTTCCTTTCATCCATTTTCTAAAAAATCTAAAAAGATTTATATCTAGAAATATGTTTAAGTTTCTCACATACTTAAGCCAATTTAAAATATTTTCCTATATGTGGTAGTTAATGTATTCATACCTTTATTTTTCAGATGAACCATTCAGACCTGTGCCTAAGCTTCAGAGCTGCTCAAAGGGTGAAATTAAGAACGCACATATACTACATGGACTATAGCTATATGAATGTTGATAGTTTTGATGTTACTCTAGTTCTACAATTGTCTATGGACAGATTACAGTTTTTGGAAAGGATTGTCAAATATTGGGAAGGTATTGTAATTGATTTATGTTTACTATAATAACTATTAAGGTATTTCCATCAAATTAGCTTAGGTTTAAATAAAAGTAAAATATATATACAAGTTGATGGTGGCCTAGCGGTTAAAAGGCCCGCCTCTCAAGAACGAGGGCGCGGGTTCGATCCTGGACCTGGCAAGTACCAATGTGATTTTTCCGAGTCATATGTACTTTCTAAGAGTATTTAGACATCACTGATTAATGCATTCCCAAAGAGGGTTGATGTCAGGTATTAAACTATTTACAACATGTTCTGTGGAAGGGAAGAACATGTTGTGCCGACCCTACATAAAGTTTGATCAGGACAGGAAAAAAAATTACATATAAATAGATCGCATAATACTATAATATAACTACTTAATTAAAATAATATATTACAGGTCCACTAAGTGCTGCCATCTATCTGTCGGACTGTGAAGTAACTAAACTAGAAAGTTTCATTAGAGATTGGTCATCAACACTTAATATAAGAAATAATATTGGATACCACTTGGTGTTTAAGCATGATTCGGTGAGAAACTACAAAACAACAATTTTAAAAACAAAGAATTTCCATATTTTTAATATATTTTCTAGTATTTTATACTTTATTAGTTAGTATCTTCGACTTTTTTCCCGTTTTTGGAAAACTATTGTGTTCAGAGACCTAGGTTCTAGTACTTAACATAATAGAAAATGTTAATTCAACGAACAGCGACATGTTTCGACTGTGTCACGGAACTATATACCACAAACAACAGTTGTAATCTGTTTTCTAACAAAATATATGTGAATATATAAGTTACGGTCCACGTATTACCTACATTGCTGAAAAGTTTTATTCAAATCCATTCGGTATATTCTACATAAATGATCAACAAATATGAATACATCCTTAAAAACTATATGTCCAATAATATGTATAAGTGCATGCAAATTAATATTCTAATTCTATGTTATAAGGTACATTATCCAGTGAACTATCTTCGTAATGTAGCCTTAGAGAATGTGAACACTCCGTACGTGTTCCTTATGGATGCAGATTTCGTACCAATGGCCGGTCTATACAGATATCTGAGGGAATCAATAAAAGTTATCAACCCATATCCACAGAAGAAGGTAAGCATATTGTATAATTTCCTTTTAGGACTAGATATATTAACAAACTAGCTTTCCGCCTGCAGCTTCGCTCGCGTGGAGTACGGTTATATCGCGTTTCCAAGAGAACCTTTCAAAAGTCTGGGATAAAAACTATCCTATGTTCTTTCTCAGGGTCAACTCTATCTCTGTTCCACATTTCATTAAAATCAATTCAGTGGTTTAGGCGTGAAAGCGTAACAGACAGACAGACAGTTACTTTCGCTTTTATAATATTATATTTTTTAATTTATTTATAAATATGTAGTATGAATTGTTAAAAATACATGTTAATAGTCATGGTGCCTTTTTGTTTTTTGGTTATATATAGTTTTTTTTTTTTTTTTTTTTTTTTTTTTTTTTTTTTTGTTGTCGCTGGAAAAATGCTTTACGCATACCACTCTACCCGGGGTCGGCAGATGTGGTTATGTGGGACTACTAGGTTTAAGTACCCAGTTTACCCACTAAAAAACCAGCGGAATTACTCCTCGCCACATAAGGTGGAAAGAGGCCGCGGTAACGCTTTCGCCCAGCCCGCGGTTATATATAGTATATGATCGAAAATAATAAGAGAAATAATTGCATATATGTAAATAAAACTCCTATTTTCGTATTTATTTCGCGTTTATAATTTTTTTTAACTGTACACTCTCGAGGTTTTTGTTATTTTATAATAACCGTGATCACGCACAGACGAAACAATTCATCAAAAAACAAAAATAATTATAAACTCATAGTAAATTAAAAAAAATATTAGTTTTATTGAAATGAATGTTCGAAAAAATCGTACATTTCATTAATCAGATATATAATTAATATATTCCATATGAAGATTCTCTGTCGCAAGTTCTAGGTACTGTTGAAGCTCATCTCCGTACAACGATAGGCGGCTGGTGGGTCATCGAACTGGTGGTGCACTTTACTAAAATATTAAATTAGAAAATGTAACAAGTTGTTTCACGCGTCAGGCGTATTAATGCGTATCTCATACAAGATGTATTAGCAGTCCTCGTGCATTTGCTGAAGCGCACGAGATATTAATGTATTAAAGCGCTCAAACTTTTTGACTATAATTAGAAATTTAATTTTTATACGTTTTTGTATATTTAGAAAATAAATATTAAAATGGTAATTTAAAAATAAAGATGAAGTAATACATATTTTGTAATTTTCAAATCTTTTGAATTGGTGGTTCAGCGCACGAGTGCACTTAAGGTACAGCCGCCACTGATTATAAATATACACCTTCACGGTGAATCCATTGAATGACAAGTTTAGTATAATTATTAATAACTAATATTTCCAGTGTTTGGTTGTACCGGCGTTTGAAACTCAGAGGTATAGAGCATCACCACCACGAAATAAAGAGGAATTGTTATCAAGACTGTCCATCAATCATATAGGAGACGTAGCACCGTTCAGATCAAGAGAGTGGCCCAGAGGTCATCGACCTACTAACTATATAAGATGGTCAACTGCTACTGCTCCGTATGAGGTGAGATTGAGATTTTTATATGTAAAAGATGGCAAATGGCAAATACTTGATGGGCAGTAGTGATTGAACCTTGATTGTCGAGGAAAAGGGAGGGGTGGGAACAGCAGGAAAGAGAGGGAAAAGGCAACTATCTCTCTCACTCATTGGAGGAAACGCAACCACTAAAAGTTATTTCACGCCGATTTTCTGTGAGAGGGTGGTACTTAGGTCGAGCCAACGCATGTAATTTGACTATAGCTAGGCTTTACCACATTGTCTTGATGTGTTAATACTAACATTAGGGTATTGACCAATTATTGTTATGAAGATGGGTCTATTGATGTATGATATTGTATTAGATATAGAACTATGTTATTGGTAGTATATTGTGCTAAGCAAGAATGAATGAAAGAATATAATAGTGATCTCCCTTCATTATACTTGATGTTATGTCATATATTTATATAACAATTAAAAATATGTTAATTAGAGAGGTGATGTCCAGTAATTTAGCTGAAAATGATCAAAACTAACTAGTTTACTAAAAATGTTGAAAAATATAAAGAAACTTCTTAATATTTTGATATATTCCAATATTACTCTCCTTCTTTCTGGAAATTAAAAAATAATATAGATTTTCCTTATTTTTATTGGTAAATCTTACCATTTTTAAAAATATGTTTGTATAGATATATTTGTATCCATTATATGTACCTTTAATTGTTCTCCTTATTTCTGAACTACGTATATTTATGACTAGTATCACGTTATCAGTTTATAAAATATTTCAGGTAGATTGGCAATCGGATTACGAACCTTATTTAGTGGCGCATCGCAGCATCCCTAAATACGACACGAGATTCTCTGGCTTTGGATGGAATAAAGTAAGAAGGAATACATCAAATATACTAGTTATACAAGTAATGAAATTATATGAATAGTTAAATAAAATCTTTACTTTAAAAAACTAGTATCGCCATCTGTTGACTTAAAATAGAACTTTTAAGCCGGTTTTCAGGGAACTATACCAAATTTTTGAATAAATTTTGAGTATATATTATTTTAAAAACTAATTGTAAGCTACATTTAATCGCATATAAAACACAAAGCATTGATAATAAAATGCAGTGTATTATTAAAATGTTGTGAATACGTTCAAATATACTTGATGGACTACGAATTCTTGATGGAGCTAGTATCGCATTAACTAATTCATATATTTATATGGTCACTAATCAAGATTACTGCTAATTCTTTTTGGTTATACTCAATCATGAGAGAAGTTCTTTGGTGACAATGTAATAATGATTTTAATGATATACTAGTTTTGGCCCGCGACTTCGTCTAGTTTCAGAATTAGAAATGTATAGCTGACTGGGTGAACTCTATTTGTCAAAGTCGATAAGAAGATTTTGTATTTGATTAATTTTTTATTTTGCTTTTCTTTTCAATCAGATGAAAAGTATGCAATGTCCTTTCCCTTGTTCTCAGCTATCTCGACGCGAATTATCAACCATATCCCTACAGCCGTTCGAGAGTTAATATAAATAGTGTAAATAACACGAATTTTATATTTATTTAATTCTATAAACCAACAGTGCTTATAGTAATGACGTAATAAAATATAATTAAACAATACTAAGACCAATACAGGATTACATATGTAGATATAGTAAAAGTATAAATATAAAAGTAACTTAAGTATTAATGAATAACGGATTACAATACTATTTAGAGAGACCGTTCGTTGTGTGTGGGCGCATTTGCTAATGTGAGTGTGTGTGCATGGGCGTACCCAGGTTCTGGGCCAGGGGGGGGCAAATCTTATTTTTATAAGCTAGGTGAGGTGGTTTTTAAAAATAAAAAAACTTAAATTAAAATAGATAATATTTTTTTATATAAATTCTTTAACTAGGTACTTCTACAATGGCTATTTTAAAAGTAATTTTCGAGGGTCTTCAGCAAAACGATTTAGGATGCCTTCCGTGAAAGAATCACTCATACTTTTAACAAATTCTCTGTGCACACTGAGCATACAAAGCCCATTCAATCTATCTTCTGTCATAGTCGATCTTAGCCACGTTTTTACACGTCTAAGTGTACTGAACGACCTTTGAATCGTAGCAGTGGAATACGGCATTGCCAGCAAAATTTCTAAAGCTATCTTGACCTTCGGGTAGAAAGAATCTGCTTCTTGTATTAACTCTGCTATTTCAATATTTTCAAAATCCTGCTGCTGCTTATTTATCCAAAACGTGCGCCAAAGTTCGGCTTCAGACGTGATCCCTTCTATTTCATAAAAATCAGATACTTCCTCCATGCATTTTTGTAATTTAGGAACTGTAATTTTAATTATCTGAGTAGGGTGTTACAATGAAAGTTTAAACGCTGGTGAATGCTGTCTGCTAAATCTCGCCTCTAATGAAGATGACAAAGAATCCAAATAAGGCACGTATAATGAGCGACGAAAATACTCGCTAAATGAAGCAGCTGGTTGATTTGCCCTATGTTGTTGGCGGCTTGCTGTTCTTGGTAAACGTAGGTCAATGTTTAAAGCCGTAGCAATTTTTTCAGCTGATTTGATTAAATCTTCGCTCCCTTCTTCCGCGGAACGCCGGTGTTCTGCAACTGCAGTAGTTATTGTTTCTATATGTTCTGCACATCTTAATATGTCTAGCGTTTTAGATTGCAATATGTTCGCGACGGGTTGCAGCATAGAATTATATTTGTCTATAATACATAAAGCAAATATAAATGTAGTTTGGCTGACAGCAGATAGTAACTGAAAAGCTACTTTCCTTGTGGCAGAATTACCTTCCCGAGAAAGTTTTTCTAAACCTTCTGCAATTTGGGCAAAATATTTCTTAAACATCGAAATACTTTGGTATTTATGGGACCATCTTGTTTCACACAGCAATGGTATTTTAGGTGCATATCTTTGACGCAGAACCGATTCCCTGAAAAAATTTATTGTATCTTTTACGGTTCCAATGCAGTTGCGGATCTCAGAAACATTATTTAAATCGTTTACCACGAGGTTTAATCTGTGGCAGGCGCAGTGAAAATATAAACCCTTTTTATAAGTTTCTCTCAATATTTTCTGGACTCCACCATCTTTTCCCGCCATAGTAGCACATCCGTCATAGCCTTGTCCCACGCATTTATTAGCGTCAATATTTAACGTATTAATAAATCTATTTATTTCAGCAGCTATCGTTTGGGCATCCATTTTTTCCAACTCTACGAAGCCCATAAATTCTTCTTTAACATTTTTTTCTTTTTGATCGTAATATCGAAGACCTATTGCTAGTTGTTCCTTACCAGATATATCTGCTGATTCATCAGCCAAAATACTGAAAGCACTTGCGACTCTAATGTTATCGACCAGTTTTTCTCTTATTAGAATACCGCATATGTTTAAAATTTCATTTTGTATCTTCGGGGACGTATACTGAGCATTCTTTTGACCCTTCTCTAAATGTTGCCGCAAAATTTCATCACCAGATTTTATTTTTAATTGAAGCAAATCTTGAAAAACGCCGTCATCCTTTTCTTTTCCTCTCAATGGCAAATCATGTGTTCCACAAAAAACTATTGTACTGATTATAGGTAGCAATGCATTTCTATTGTCTTCAATAATTTTTTCGCGGCCTATTTGCAATGCAACTTGTACATTTGTTTTAATGTTGCTAAAAGAATTGGCAGACGCACTCGACTCTCTATGCCATTGAGTATCTACATGCGCTTTACAATAAATATGTATATCTTTATACTTGGTAAATGGTCGAACAATTAGAGATCCCTGTACACCACGTGCGACTTTCGGCGGGAATAAAACACAAAACAAACAAAATGCACCTTTCAATTTCTTTGAGTATACAAGCCACGGTTTGTACATTTCTAACCAAGAGTGGTTAAATTTGCGTTTTAAATGTGTAGCATCGCCAGCAAAATCATAAGTTTCTGAAGGTACCCAGCATCGCTTTAACATTTCCATTCGCTTCTCCGTTGTCAGTACGAAAGACCGTCCAACCCATCGACCGATATCGTTTTCATGAAAATTCCCTCCATCATCCAGAATAGACGTAGATGTAGATGCACGAGATTCAGATACTACCTCATTAACAATACTGCAAGAATTTATGGTTTTCGGTTCTGAATCTTGCGGGCTAACTAAAGAGTTACACAATTTTTTATTAGCAGAATAAGATTGTGTTATTGGCGCTGAATCCACCTCACTAGACTGCTGCAACTGTTTACTGCAACTGGCATCATCATCCTCTGTGCTTGTAATTTTCCGTTTTTTTTTGCTGCAAAAATAAAATACGGTATACGGTAATGTAGCTATAAAAAATACGTTTATTTCTTCGGCATGACTATAAAAAAAGTTAAAACCGCAAGCCGAAACTAGACAAATTGGACGTCCAGTTTTACAATGCATATGCATTAGTAACAAATGACATCAGTAACAAAATACGTTTGAAGCATCAAATCCTCAAATCTTATTTCATAGATTGCTAAAGGTTATTAAAAAAATTAGAGTAGATCCTTCAAACAATTGTGATTGTCTTGTTTTAATAAAAAAAAATAACAGACTTATTAAGTAAATAAGTAGGTAATAGAAAAAACTTACCAAAAAAGTTCCGAATATCCATTTTCATTCAAAGTTTTGTTATAGTAAATCAGAATATAAATAGAAATACATATAGGTACCTACTTAGGCCCTAATTATATCACAATACTACAACTCAGTAACAAAACCTTATTTATGTTTTTAATTCAATCAAAACTCGTGCAGTTTGAAAACAATGACTTGTCAAACAAATGCAAGCCGCTCGCTCGTACTCTCTCCCGATTTCGCGGCACTCGATGTCGCTCGGTACGATTCGGTAATCTTCGTGTCGTGTAGATGCGGGCGGACTCCGCAGCGCTGCACTGCTAGCGAGCTGTTATGGGTATGGGTAACGAACGCGCCGCGTAATTTTTAGCTGTTAAAATATCGTATTAATAATACAAACAAATGGCAAAAAAATGTTTTCTTAATTTTTATCGATAAAAGTACATGATAAGGTACTTAGTAGGGACGTCAACATTATTCAGGGGGGGGCAGCTGCCCCCCCCTGCCCCTACCTGGGTACGCCCATGTGTGTGTGTGTGTGCGCGTTTTAATAATGAAATCCATATATATATGTAATGATTCCTTGTCCAGGTATCTCACAGTGTTGAGCTCCGAGCTCAAGGGTACAAGCTGTCAGTACTCCCAGGAGCGTTCGTGGTCCACACTCCTCACGCTCCTTCACCGGACATTACGGCCTTCAGAGCTGACCCGCACTACCGAGTGTGAGTTTATATTAACAGAAACTATATGGACTATGACACATTATTTGTTACGATGATAGAACTGAAATTATTATCTACATATTTGAATTGTGTGAGTTTTGGTTCTGAATTAAATTCCAGACTAGGCCATATTACCTAAATATCTATAAAATTTTAAGAATTCGTTGTTATTGAACTATCTAAAAGCGTTTTTGTAGTAGGTATCTCTAATATTAGTGAAGTAACTTATTATTAGAGATAGATGTATATACATATATGAACAAGTGAGTTTAAAAATGTCATTAGAAAAACGATATAAAATATAAAGTAATTAAAGATAGGTTAGTCATGAGTCTACATCGAAATTTTAATAAAAAAAAAAACAAATAAACGAATGAATGAATGAATGTTAATATCTTTTATTTTTTCAGATGTCTGTCACTTTTGAAACAGGAGTTCATGGACGATCTCAAGAGAAAGTACAACGTGACGCTTGAAGATAATCAAACTAAATAGTATTTAAAGTACTCATTATTTTTTAAATTCATTATAAGCCTAAAATCAAGATTTAATATATCAATACTTATATGCTTTAAAATGAGATTACATAGAAGTATCATTTTTAATGTCTCTCACTGTTATTTGGTAAAATGCATATTTGTAAGCGTACATAATTAAGTATTTGTTGCCTAATTCACTGTAAAGGCCTATATACACTGTTGTATTTAATTTTGTTTGATTTTTATATAGACTAATATCATGAATGCAAAATAAAAATATAGGAGCGTGGATTTTATATATTTCGACATAAAGTACACACATTCCCCTTAGTGAAGTACATGCATTATATAGTATAAAAATAATTAGGAACGCAATCTCAAAAGTACCTTTACGTTTCTATCGAATGTTCCTTGTAATACCAAAAAACTATATACATATATTATTAATTATAATTTAAGCCTAATAACATTTTCATTGTATTATTTTTATAACATTAGTATTAAATATTAAGAAAACATTTCTAAATTAATTTGTTTGTTTTTTTTTGTATAGTCCTAATAAACTTCAGCGCCAACGAATCTTGTCTCAGTGTGTGTTAGATAATTGTTACTTTTCGGGTTTTCCTTTGATATTAAAAGCCAGAGCAGAATAAGTATCTGGAAGTCGAGTTCTTGGATGTCTTTCTTCAAAGTTTCGACGGCTTTTTTTGCTGTAACCAACGGCGAATTATCATTCATTGATGAACCACGTGATTCAGTCTTTTGCTTCATGTTCTCAACTTTGGACGTCAATTCGTTCAATATTTCCTGTCTCTCAGTAACGCCGACGCTAGCTTCTTTATACTCATTGGTAGCTTTGTTCAATTCGTCCAACAAAGATCCGTATTCCCTAACAAATGGTTCAAGTCTTTCGTTCAGCACATTCTCTCTTGCTCCTATCTTGTCCATAACTGACGTGATGTTGCTGTAAATTTTATTCAACTGTGACCCAGTCGTTTTGAATCTGTCTGTAAGTTCATCTCTGTAGCTCTTCATCTGCGCGTGCCTCGCTCTCCAATCTCTTCCATCTACAGATATCTTTAATCTCAAAGCCGGCGCAACCCTTTCCAATTCCAATTTCCAAGCTTCCCAATCATGAACTCTAGTAGTGACGTTGATATCTTTTTCTTCCTCTTTCTCAATCTCCCCTTCAGATTCTTCTGAATAAATCGCCATTTCCTCTTCGATTTTATCCAAAATTATCTCAGTTTCATCCTCAACTTGATCAACATCGTCTGTAATTTCTTCCGACTCGTTTATGTTAACAACAGGTTTCAGCCATTCGAAGTTTTCAACCTTCAAGACTTCGTCAGCCAACACGTTTAAGATATAACATACTTGGTCTCCGCAACCTTGCTTGAGTTTATGAGAGGAGAAGTCCACTGCTATATCTTTTTCTCGTATAATATCTAGGATATTAGCGATGATTGCGTTAGGATCATCTTCCTCGTTCGGTTGATCAAAGTCTTTGCCAGATTTTCTTATAAGCCACGCAGCAGTGGATGCGAATACAAAGAACTGTTCCACGGGATTCGTAGGCGCCACGAAATAATATCTACTCATAGCTTTCATCTTTATTTGGGGACGCAGCTCTGTGTCAATCTTCAGAATACGCAGTTTGTCCATTATATTGAGATCCATTTCTTAGGAACGATTAAAATATTATTATAAGTCCAGAATACATAGAATCTAACCTCGACTTAATAGCGATTTGTTTACTATCCGTTACCATGGTAACCGAACACAAAATATTAAGCTACTTTTACACAATACAGATAAGGAATAAAAAGTAGATAATTGAAAGTACTATAGTCATACAAAACTACAGTATTGAGCGTTTAAATCTAGATTCTATCTAGTCGAAAGAGAGAATATCAAACTTACATGTTATATGTATAACTATTCTAGACACGTCATATTATGATTTTTTTTATTTTTTATTTTGCAGTTACGTTTTGTTGCTAAACTTAAAGTGGTGAATAAGCTTTATAAGGATGTTGACTACACATTAAATAAAATAAAGTTTTAGAAATGTGTAATTCCTACAAATATTTACTGAACCTTGAATTTATTTGCTGTAATATTACCTATATTAAAAATAATAAAAATGTGCAACACTAAAAAAATATTTAATTTATATCAAGTACACACTTTTTTTGTTTTTAATACAAAATATCTATAAGTTTATTTTAAATTGTCACAAATTATAAGCTAAAACAATTTTCATATCAATATCACGAAATATTTCCGACTTAATTGTAGAATTTCGTACATCACTGACACTTACTAAGGGCACTCATTCAGACACACATAGTCGTAATGATAATTTATTAATATAAAGTAAAACACAATAATAATATTATAATTATTATTCTGCACACAGGCGGCAGTTATTCTTATATATTGTCTCGACTGTTTCCCGCTCATGTGTCATTACTCATTTACAGAAGGGATTGGCGCCTTGGTGTAAAAAATATGCTAAATGTTCTAGATTTATTTTGCTAACACAACTTTTATCTATATATTGTTTGAAATCAGAACATTTATAACTATACAAAAAGTTTACATAAATTTTACAGTATGAATAAGATATAGCGTAGTAAAAATATATATTATAAACATCGAAGACACATTTTGTGAGTAGCATTATTTGATCTTAAGCATCGACATATACTAATGGACATGCCGTACGCGTATAATCTGCAGTAATTTTTTGGTTTGAAAAGAGTGAGAGAGATGGCCTATGCTTTCGGTCTAGCACTATCTCTTTCCTCATAGATGATTGGCGCTCAGTTTTCATTAAAAGCACGGTATATAAATTTGAGAGAGATAAAGATAGACCGAAACTTCGTTTCCTCTCTTTCTTTCGGAGTGCCACAATTCTCATCTCTAAGGCATGTCTATTAGTATATGTCAATGATTTTAAGATTACTTACTCGATTTTTTGTGAAACAGACCGTCCATCCACATTATGGTGAATAAGAAAGCTTTGGCAATCACGTTTCAAATTAATTATTTGGAAATGCTTTGCCAGATGTATTGTTATCGCTTCAGGCTCTATTTGCACTCACGAATCGACCTTGGTATCTTATCCTCTGGTGAAATCTAAAATCAAATTACTGTTACGTAATTAAGAGCATATTATATGTAAAATAATCAAATTGAATTGAAGTAAGAGGTAAAAGGTATGTGTTGTACGAGAATAGAGTTTCAGAGATAAGAACATCAAGTATGACCAGTAAATATATCGATAATCTAAACTCTTAGGTAATTGGCAAAAATAGACATGCGGCGAAAGCTTTTGAAAACATAACCGTCTTTCGCATGTCGCATTACACGAATTTCCCAAAATGTTTTTTGATTCATGTTGAATTAAAATCAGAGCTGCGATTTCGATTTTTTGTTCAATTAAAATGATCTTCATACATTACCTTACGTTTGGTTAACATCGGAAAAAAGAACAACTTTTGTTAACAATACTTTTAATTCATTTTTAAATAATCATCAACATCATTAAAACATCATTTTTATTTTTCCATAAAATTTAAATGCAAATCACGTTATAATATAATAGAATAAATACCAATACTGACATGAAATAGTTATGAATAATTTAATACATTTAACAAACAGAAAACCGTAGTCTATTTAGTATTCTTAAATTAATGTTAGTATTTTAATGTCTTTCATATTAGATAAAAACAATACTTATTAATATATTAAAAGTTTATATTATAAAACAGATCGCTGTGAGATTATTGCCGTTATTTTTTAAATATAAGGCACATTATTATGACTTATTTTCTATCTACACTAGCATAGCCTTCTCAGCCTTAATTCATTAATAACAAACAAATAGTTATACTTTCAGGAGTATTCTATTTATTGTAATTAAAAATTGACCTATCAAAACTTTTATTGACTATATAATAATACATGATTAATTCAAAATGGCGTCTTTTGGCTTGGCAAGATCTATCATAGTTGAATGCCGTTTCTTCGATAATGATTTTTATGTAATAATTGTATAAGTAGGAATTGTGATTGCTTTTAATTTTTATCTTCTGGAATATCTTCGAATTTGGCTCCCATCCTTTTAAGTGCGATGACAGCGGCTACGGCCTTCGCCCAACGTTTCTTGATGACGTATCTCTTCAATTTAGCTTTTGTCACGTGAAGTTCAGTACACAGAGCGGACTGAATCAACCAAGGATGCACCAACGTAGCTGATGCTGAAAGACGTTCACTGTGGACGCAATTATATAGTTTAATATAAATAATAGTTTCAAATATGATGCATAGATAAACAATATTTTTTTAATCTGTCAGTTTATTTCTTGTAAACTGTCATAAATGAAAACTGTCATAGGTTGAGTTAGAAGTATGTAAGTCAAAATGTAAACTTGTGTAATAGGTATGTGATTTGAGTTTTGCGTGTGTTCTAAATAAAAAAAAAAAACATTTTTTTTATAAAGCCTTATATTATAACAAAATACGCATTTAACAATAAATTATTATAAAGTCATTATAATTAAGTACAGATAAGGAACAAAAATTAGTTTTCGTCGGATTATATTTAATATGTATATTTATTTACAAAAAAAAATATTTATTAATAATACAAAATTATGTTCTATTGTCAATGTAATTTCATTATCTCAGTCTTGTCCGCAAGCTATTCCACCGAGCTTTGAGTATGAGGACTAGAATCGTGTAACATAACGTCATTTGCACAAAACTGATTTAATATGTATAATATTTTAAAAAAATAGCCTTCTTGTCATAAAATTTTCGATTTTGAGATCATTCGATTGAAATGAATTTATGATTAAGCCTCTCTGGATTATGAAGGCTATCTTTTTGGACTGTCATGGCACAAACCCTGTGTGAGACTGAATTCATTTGGAGTTCGTTATATTGGACGTTATATTTTTTTGGACTTTCTCGTCTGAGGATTGTCGTTTGAAGAAAGCTTGTAGACTTGATATTGAGTTCTGCGCGAGCTGGTTTGACTGCGACCATTCTAATGATATGGATTGATGTCTGCCACTTGTTGAAGTACCACCCGCTGTTCGTTCACCTTCCATACCATCTGTTTCCCCCCATTTTTCTAACAAGTGCAATAACAGGTCTTTAGTTCTATGCGCGTTATTTTCGTCACCTCGCCTATAAGGCATCTGTCGTCCATTTTCTTGTCCGTTAACTAGTTTGTCTATTTTATCGCGTCTTCTATCAAATTCTTCTAGGAAAGTGCTTCGTTTATCTATAGGTTGTTCTGGCACGTCTCTGCTAGTGGTTGTAAGTCTTTTCGACCTCGTGGATTTAACCCACGGCATTTTGCTAGTCATAGGTTTAACAGATTCCTTCTCTGTTAGAAAACTTGAATTGACTCTATGACTAGACTTGGACATGAATATCTTTTTATCGCTACTAGTATTGCCATTTGTTAGTGATCTTGTTATGTTTCTATCGTTTTGGTAACCGTTGGTTATAATTTTCTCGTCTTTACTGAGCGTTTTTGATTCGGTAACGTTTTTATCTATTTCGTTGGTGCTATTATTGTTCGCGAGGTCGGTATTCATTGTGGATAACATGAACAGATGATCGGATAGTTTCTTAATTTCTTCGGCTAGATTTTTTCTAACGAATATATCTTGTTTTTTATGTAGGAAGCAGCTGCTGTCGGAGGCTCGTCTCTCTATGGGGTTGTATCTGGTTGTATGTTTTGGATCTCTCAGCGGCGGTGGATCTAGTTCATCTTCATCGAAGACCATGTCAGGGGAACTGCTTAAAGAACTTCTTGGTGACGGCGAGCATCCTCCAATAGATGATCTCTCTGCGTTAACCAGACATATGATTTCTTGAGACTGATTATCGAAAACGTAAGGCGAATTCGGATGCTCGCTCCATCTCTCAACGAACAGTCGTAGATTGTCTTTAGCGACGTCCAGTTCGTGTTTTGGTGATTGAGATATTTTCTTGGGCACATCTTTCTTTGTATTCCGTTTGATGAGCCACGGATGACGTAAGCACTCGGTAGCCCCCGGCCGAGACCTGCGACAAAGACCCTTGTTACTATAACCCGACACCTTATATTACCATGAAATAGGTGTTCAAATTATGCACATATAATTAACTAATTTCTCTACAAGCTGATACGAAAGTACAGGGTGTTCAAAACATACATGTTAAAATAATGTTACAAATTCTGATGGACTGTAGAATGTTCAGGTAAAAATATATACAGGTTCAAATGTTATCACTACAGTATAGAAGCTGATTCAGCACTTAACTAAATCTATTGTTAGCATATACTACATGAAAGATTATTGATATAATTTGGCTGTTTTATACAGTGTTGGAATTTTTTTATGTAAACAAGGGTCTTTATCGCAAGGCTGTCATAACAGCTTTGTATGAATTATGATCATATTTGATTTCTATGTACTACAAAACTCAAGCAAGCCCACTACTATCTATTCTCATAATACTCACTCTTTGTCTTTAACGAGTAGTTTTCTTATGAAATCCTTCGCGTCTTCTGATATTTCGTTGAACGCTTCATCGTCGAAGTCGTATTTGGCTATCGTTACGTTAGCCATGGTCTCAATATCAGTTTCACCCATGAACGGTGATAAACCCGACAGTCTGAAAATAAATATATATTAAAAATCAATATCTAGAAATATATTATTAATAATTCGACTAAGCTTTTTGCAACTTTCTTAGCAATGGACCAAAGATAAATCAATAAAGATTTAGTTTGTTAAAAAATTGTAATTGGAAATTTAAATTAATATATATGTGTATAAATGTCTCCATCTAGATTATAACAAGATTTCTTTAGACTAAGCTTTATGCAACTTTCTTGCCGATGGGCCAAAATGAAAACAATTAAGTGAGATTTAAGACTTTCGCGAATTTGATTCATTTAAATGAAACTAATATTTTTCGGATATACTACTCGTGTTTTATTTTCATGAAAAAACTACATACTGCTGATGTTTCGGCTACTTTTCAGCAACCGTGATCATGAAGACGAGATGAGTGTATCCGAAATATATTACATTTCATTTAAATGAAATCAATTAAGATTTAGTTTTTTTTTAAATTTTATTAAAATTCTTATGAGAAGTCTCATCAAATTTTCTATATAATATTATTTGAATACTCACAACACATAACATATAACGCCGACCGACCACATATCCGTTCCGTATCCTATTTGGTCGAAGTTGACCACTTCAGGTGCGACGAACTCCGGGGTCCCGAATAGGACTTGTAGTTTCTTTTCAGGATCATAGAAGCGAGCGAGTCCGAAATCAATGATTTTTATACGATTCCCAGTTTTCGTGAGACATAGAATATTTTCCGGCTGTAATGAAAACAAACTTTGTAAAGTACCTATTAGTTTAAATAAGATTTTTTTTCCATTTACTACGCGTTATTTTTACTCTTCAATATCCGAAACGTCAGTAGTATGTAGTTTTTAAAGTAGTAAAGTAACGCGTAGTAAGACGAAAAATTAAAGTTTTTTCCTTGAATAGTCGTTTATGTCTTATCTAAAAATGTACTAGTTTATAAAACTGTTATAATTGTATTCAGAAAGAGTTAAATTGTCTTTAAAAAGTCGATGTTGCCTATTGACAGCGACATCTAGAATTCAAAATACTAGTGTTATGTATTCCCGTGGGAATTGCATCTTATTCGGGAAAAAATAGAGCTTACGTCCCGTTTCTTTCTTCAAGCTATATCATAATAAAGCTTTATTAAATTCCCGTCACTAGTTTTTGCGTGAAAGAGTAACAAAGAACTAACATTCTGCTATTAAAATACTGATTTATATGTAATTACGTAATAAATTTGAACATCACAAAATGCCTACACTTAGGTGGTTAATTTAAGTGTAGGTATTTGTAAATTCAAAGCGAATGACATTAAAAAAATTTGGCGCCGAAATAGTGTTGTCGTTATGTCAATCGTAAAACTCCGTTGAAGCTTTTCCGTGATTCTGATTAACGACTTGGACTCCAACCAACATGGCGGATCCGTTATTGTTTTTAACAAGCTTTATTATTATAGTGTATTTTGTTCGTATCTCGTAATAAATTTATCCACAACTAAGAAAATTGTTGTGAAGTTTTTGGGACATAAAATTTATATTATAAAAAAAAAAACAAAATGGCTGACGTTTGCCGCCAATTAAACTTCAAATTCTTATTTATTATTATCAGTGATTATCTTGAAATATTAATATATCATATCAATCAAGACAGGTCCAAGGAACAATTATAATTCAAATTGAAACGACCTTTCATATTTTGTCTCATCGTGATACAAGGATACCTACATATACCTATATAACTACATAAGAGATCAATTAATGCTGGTAATAAAAAAAACTATTGAGATTTAAGATTTACGCGAGTTTTATTCATTTAAATGAAACTATCGTTTTTCGAATTATACTACACAACTTTATTTTGTCCAGAAATTCACATCTCGTCTGCCCGTGATCACGGTTGCCGTAAGAAGCCGAAAAAATAGATTTTATTAGTAGTATAATCAGAAGAAGAATAGTTTCATTAAAAAAAAGTGTATATGAATATACTACCTTCATATCTAGATGTAGTATGTTCTGTCTGTGTACAAATTCTATTCCCTCACATATCTGCCTCATAAACACTGTACACGCGCGTTCAGTCAACACGAAGTCTTCATCTATGACTCGCTCAAACAACTCTCCGCCTGTGATCCTGAAAAATGAATTATTATATCTTTAAAACTACAAAAAAATACTTGGAATAAAAAAGTTGGACTGTTTTCAAATATATAAAACCTTTTTGTAGATTTGTTATCTGTGTACTAATTTTATCTACAATAATTAATCTCGACGTCCTAGAATTATAAAATTTGGACGAACTTTCATATTTTTATGAAAAAATTATAAAGAATGTAGCAAATTTTTTTTCATTGCCAAATGTGCGATTGTAAATTAATATTAACGATAGATGTTAGCGCCAAAATAAACTGAGCGGGTAAACAAGGTCGTTGGTGATGATTCCCGAATCATCTGGGAAGCTTCCTGTATCTATTACAACTTAGTTTATTGGAAATTTATTGCTTGGAAGGAATTTATGCTAGACTTTGGACCTATGATCGTGTGCCTTGGGATCGTTTGAAGAAAATTAACAAAAAATTACTGTCATAAATAATAGATAAAAAATATATTCTTTTTTGCGTCTTTTTTCAATATAAATGTAGTGTGCAAAATATTTTGTCCGCAACGAACTGTTTACCCGCCGAATATATTATAAAATGAATGAAACAAATTCACGTCGTGTTTTTCTCAATCCAGCTGATTTTAAAAACGCTCACGTAAACGCTTACGTCAGCTGTATTCGGTCAGTGTTTCTTGTTATGTATTAGTTTGAATATTTATAAACAATTGACGTAAACTATTTGAGATCGGCTGAGTAAATTGAGCAATGTGCTCATATATGGTTTGGGAAATTAAAAAAAAATCTGTCATCGTTTCGTTTCTGTTTACATTGAATTTCAACAATCAAATAATTGTTATTCAAATGAATTAGTATAGCTAATATGTGATATGAGGCAATTTATGATACAAAGTAGTCTAAATATACCAGTCTTTAAGTATTTATGGCTCTTGCTTCATAACATATAGGTTTAAAATTATTTACGCGCAATATATTGTATACGATACTTTAAATGATCACTTTTCATCTCTTTTGGATTATATTGAGAGACATAAAAAAGGTTAATGTAATATCAACGAAAAGTTTCTTTATTGTATGTAAATTATACATATAATTTATATTATAAGCAAATTTATATTATAAGACAGAGAAAAATATATAAAAATGCTGGCTAGCTGGCTAGCCCTAAAATATGAGATCAAGATGGCATCTAGCCAACTATTTATCTACAATTGTTACTATAATAAACTAGAATAAATATACGAAAACATATAAAAATAACATATACATATAATGAATATTAATTAGAATATACATAATATATTTGTTATACAATAAATATGGGAATGAGTTATGGCTTGATGCCAACGATGTAGATAAAAAACTTTGTATACCACAAGTTTGTATGGTTACGAAGTATTTAACGTTTCACTTCTAATAATACGTTTATATAATAAAAAACTGTTAACGTTTGACGTGCAGTTTGTACGTGAAAACTATTGGTAAGAATACTAATAAAATTTATGTATGTACGGTAGAAATATCGTTTGTTTTAAATGAAACTAATATTTTTTGGATTATAACTACACGTAGAACTATAGGTAGGTAGAGAAGGGAGCTTGGACAGTGGAGGCGAGCGTTTAACGCGCGTTAGATAGGCCCATAAACCTACACCTGGGTCGCAAGTCCCAGGCACTGTTGAAGCTCCTCTCACTACAACGATGGACCCGGCACCCGCACGGTGAATACATTGAATGATGAGAGGTTTTTACAATAGTAAAATACGCGAGTTATCCGAAAAATTATATTAGTTTCATTTAAATGAATACTCGCGAAAGTCTTAAATATCATCGTTTGCTTTAATTTTTTACTATCAATAATTTATTATAGTGAAGCGAGCAATATTATTTCAGTACTAAAAGTTATTAGTAAATAGTCCAGAATAATCAAATTTATTAGTATTCAACTGAATAGTATGCAATTGTTGACAGACTGTAAACAAATTAATATAGAAAGACTATTGTCTAAATAGAAAACTATTCTTCAACCAACTTTTTTTTTAAATACTATTCGCTAATCTATTTAAAATATTTTTAATCCTTTCGAGTTACGTAATCCTTGTATATATAGTTATATAAATAAATATAAAACTTCTATTAAATTTTATTAATATATTAATTTCATATGAATATTTTTCCGTCATAATTATTGTTTATACAATACGATGACAAACAATCTTTATTTAGTTTTTTGGGTTGTGATATTTATTTAAAAGAGGGATTTTTACATGACTAAGCGTTATTGTAACGAAGTTCGAGTGACATATACATATGTAGGTAAATTTTTGTCACAAAATAATGTAAAGTTTTCCATTGTGAGTCGTTTTTAATGTTGAAGTAAAATATATATATATATATATATATTATTATTATTTTTACACGGAATTTATTTACACGGAAATTTTGTCAAAAATTAAGTGCCTATTTTTTTACATAATTCGAATGAGAATCATGTACCGAGTATGCTCCTTAAATATTGATAGTAATTCACCAGTCACCCTGTATCTATATATATATATATATATATATATATATATATATATATATATATGTATATGGAATGGCGTTCCTAACTTTATAACATTGAATAAGGAAGCACTTTAAGCATTAACGTGATTAATTGCGATGTTAGCACAACTGAAACATTTTAACTTAATGGGATAATTACTCATTGTCAATTTATTAACATCGGATATAAGATTACGTTGCACAGATTATGTTCTAATAGTTTTTTTTTATAATTCGATGTTGGTCAAACAAAGAGCGGGAAAACCATGTAGGTTGTATGTATGTATCTGTATGAGTCATTGTGAAAGCTAAAACGATTTTTTGTTTATATAACTGTGATTTATATGGATTTTAAGGTGAACTCTGAACTGGTTAGATAAAACCCGAATATCACTATTGGTATACTTTTGTATGTCATATGCATATATAAAACCTATTTGAATTTGTGATAATGATTTCTTTTTTCACATACGTCAAATGACAAATTTTTGACAGTTCGTAAATGTCAAATGTAAAGAGGTTTTATGCACTAACCTCCTTTTTGTTTTTTTTCGTCATCCCTAAATAACCTTGTAAATAAAAACGAAACTATAATTAATTTGTTGAAAGCGAGCAGCTGACGCCGTCCATCGTCACGACCTAATTACAATACCTGACTTATCAGCATATATATTTTTAGCAATTGTTCTTTTAATTAACACTGATAAGCTATGATAAAATGATATTGACTTACAAATTTAATTTCAATTTCTCTATATCTTCTATCTTCTATATATATAAAAATGGATTGCTGTTCCTTAGTCTCGCTAAAACTCGAGAACGGCTGAACAGATTTGGCTAATTTTAGTTTTGAAATACTCCTGGAAGTCCAGGGAAGGTTTAAAAGGTGAGAAAAATGGGAATAATTGCCGAGAAATTCTAAAAACAGCCCTTTTCTATTTCCGATACAAATGTTTTTTTGACATTAGATTTGACAACGAACTAATATGTCAATCATTCTGTTTGATTGAAACAGGAAAAACCTGATTATTTATGGCCTTTAAGACGGAATAGAGTTCGCCTGGTCAACTATACCTACATATTATATGACTCTTGAACAAACTAACGCGGACGAAGTCGCGGCCAAAAACTAGTTAAAATAATATAAATAAAGTAACTATGCTTTATATATCAGAGTATATAAGGAAAAAATAGAGGAAATTATATTAAAAATGGATGCCAAACTATTTATTTTCACCAAAACAAAAAAAACAGTATAGCTAAAATCATAATCGCGAGTATTCATTTGAATCAAAATAATATTTTTCGTATTATATATGCGTATTTTTTTTATAAACAAGACAAACAGAAATTTTCATTTCGTCTTTATGATCACGGAAAAGTAGCCGTAACGTCGGGAGTATGTAATAAAATACACATATTAATACATTTAAAACTAAAATCATGTTTAAATCTCTTTAAAATTATATAAGGAGATTTAAATCTATAATTTTTCCATGGTCTATGTCAATTTTTCCGTTCACCGTCCGCGTCACCACACATCCTTACAGACGCGCGTCTTGAATACTAATAAACTAACAATTGTTGTCCCTTTGAATAACACCTGGGAACTAAAACGTTAAATCGATTCAATATATATTATATATATGGCATGAGGGCGCGGGTTCGATCCTAGCCCTGGCAAGTACCAATGTGATTTTTCCGAGTCATATGTACTTTCTAAGAGTATTTAGACATCACTGATTAATGCATTCCCAAAAAGGGTCGATGTCAGGCAGGCGGCCGGTCGTAAAAACAATTAGCCAAAACTATTCACAACAATATGTAAGGCAGACCCTGGCTAAAGCTGGGAAAAATTGCCAGGTAGAAGAAGATATACCACTATAATAAATAATATGTACTAGCTTTCCGCTTGCAGCTTCGCCCGCGTGGAGTTCGGTTATATCGCGTTGCCAAGAGAACCTTTCAAAAGTCTGGGATAAAAACTGTCCTATCATCTTTCTCAAGGTCAACTTTATCTCTGTACCAAATTTCATTAATATCTGTTCGGTGTTTTAGGCTTGAAAGCGTAACAGAAAGACAGAGTTACTTTCGCATTTATAATATTAGTAGGGAAGTACATTTTTAGGGATTTTTTTTTTCGTATGATTACTTCAATTAAATGAAGTATCAATTAATGCTATTTATATGTGAATTTCAATGTCAACGGAATAGCGGTAATTAATTAGTATTTAAGGTTTTTATAGTCTTTGGTATGTGAAAATAAAACGATTGTGAACTTATGCATGACGCATGCGCATAACATATAGAAGAATTTTTTGATCGGAACAGCTAAACTTATTTCGATATAACTCTATATGAAAATTAGTTAAGATTATGTTAGAAAGCTTCCATGTTTATGTGATATATACATATATATATATACACGTGTGTGTGTGTGTGTTTTCGAATGTAATAATTCGATATCTGCCTCAAACCTATCAACGCCTGTATTTAGTAAATCTATTTCTGTGTATTTCGTTTCGATAAAACAAAAATAATCCTGACCCACCTCAACATTCTATATTTTTTTCATTTGAACATACTATGAGTCACGAATGAATGAATGAACAGTTTCGGAATGAATGTACGAGTGACCGAGTATGATTCAGTACACCCACATTTAAACTAATTATTACAATAATTCACATGACATTGGCATGCGACGCATTTATAATGAACTTAAAATAGATTATGAATTTTATTCAAACAATTAGATGCACCTTCGTTCGTATGATATATTTTTTAAACACACATTAAAACAAGGTTTTAATTATTCAACTTAATCTGATGTTGGCTGTATAAATAGTAAATCTTATATATAAAATGTTCGTGTCTCGGTGTTAGACAGAGAACTCCTCAGAAACAGCTGGACCGATTTTGATGAAATTTTGTGAGCATATTGAGCCTGAAAATCGGCTAATATCTATTTTTCATACCCCTAAGTCATAACTCATAAGGGTTGTTCACCCTTAATTTTTTTTTCAGACGAATTTTTTTTATAATATAGATTTAAGAAATACATACAACCACAATTTTTTACTTTTTTATCACCAACCCCTATTTTTTATATGGCAAAACAACTTTTGCTGGGTCAGCTATGTAGTGTTTATAAAAAAACTTTTTCATTACTACAAAGTACTGACAAACTAGGTAGTTAGATTTTTAAACTACGAAACTGTCAGTATTTAGTTTAATACCTACTCGTTCTTAGGTAAATCGTCAATCGTTACACGTGTATTTAGCACTATTTAATACGTATTCAGTACTGTCGAGATCAATTTTCATATGTGATGGTCTCGTGACTATAATACCTATATTGAATTCTTGGCTACCAACCCAGTAATATGTTCCCATTTTATATTTAACACAAGTTTAATATTTCAGGAAATTATTAATTATGTCAATATGAATAATAACTAAATATTATATTGGAGATACAAACAACGCGTATTTATAATTAAATTTCTTTGAATCTAGTCAAAGTATGAAATGAAAAATAAATTAATAACAGCTTAAAATTAATAAATAAAAAATTATCTTTATATAAAATTTAAATTAAATCACAATATTCATATAATAAATGTTAATTAAACAAAATTATTATGTATACAGAATTTATTTTACTGTTTTATGGATGGCAATTATTATTAATCCGTCAAAATATAAATATATTTCTTGTAAAGGACGAAAAAATTAATTTAAACATATGCTTGTTTAATATAATAGACTCTATTCATAGGATACAATAGGACTATAGTATGATACATATGAGACTTATTAAAAATTCAGAATAGAAATATAATGCTAATGAAACATACCATTTGAATGTCAGAAAGCAAAAGCGTATTATGTTAGTACGTCGGCGTACAAATAGGAATAATACTACCAAGAATATTTATTAGATGTTTTATCAAAGAAATGCATTGGAGTAGAAAAGTATACGTATTTTGTGGTGATTTCATTTGAAAAGTACTACGAATGTTAATAAGATATAAGACTTTCACGAGTTTTTATCCCTACTAATATTATAAATGCCAAAGTAACTCTGTCTGTCTGTCTGTCTGTAACGCTTTCACGCCTAAACCACTCAACTGATTTTAATGAAATATGGTACAGAGATAGAGTTGACCTTGAGAAAGAATATATGATAGTTTTTATCCCAGACTTTTGAAAGGTTCTCTTGGAAACACGATATAACCGAACTTCACGCGGGCGAAGCTGCGGTCGGAAAGCTAGAAAGATATAAGACTCTCGAGTTTTCATTTAAATAAAGCTAATGTTTTCGGATTTACTACGTATTTTTTAATACTTTAAACTACATACTTCCGAATTTTCGATTACTTTAGCAAACTATGATACTATGAATATTTTTAAACATATTTGTGAGTAGTTAAACGAATTATTGTAAAATCTTATGATTTATTTACAAAATATAAATTCAAGATTGTACGAGGGACGGCCTAAATAATATGAAGTAATTTTTGTTGTCAACAATTGCTTAACACGGGTTGTTGTTGAATCGTGCCTACATAGGACATTTCGTTTCTCATTCAATAACTTATTAATCCCTACTAATATTATAAATGCGAAAGTAACTCTGTCTGTCTGTCTATTACGCTTTCACACCTAAACCACTGAATTGATTTTAATGAAATTTGGTACAAAGATAGAGTTGACTTTGAGAAAGAACATAGAATAGTTTTTATCCCAGACTTTCGAAAAGTTATAACCGAATTCCATGCGGGCGAAGCTGCGGGCAGAAAGCTAGTACTATAATATGTGAAGTTTTACGAATGACTGTTAACGCTACGTATGTAGTGTGAATGCAAACTTGTGGTAATCATAATGAACGAAAAATTAGTTAAGGGCTTCACTATGTAGTGTAAGTAATTACTTATTTTTTGAAAACCTGTTGATTCCAGATGCTTATACCTCTACTTTTATCGCTAACCAAAGACAGGCAGTCATATTATTGATGCCATTATGAATGAAATATTGAATGTGTTGTGAACACATATGTATGTATATTTTATAAAAAGTATTTGTATGTATATTTTATAAAAAGTATATGTATGTATATTTTATAAAAAGTCGTGTTAGTTACACTATTTATAACTCAAGAACGGCTGTACGGTTTTGCCTGAAAATTTGTGGAGAGATAGTTTAGAACAAGGGAAAGGACATATATGATAGTTTTCACCTGATAGAGAAAAAAAATAGTTGGTAAAATCCAAAAATCTACTATCTTTAAGGAAAAATAGAGTTCACACGTTTAGCTATACATTTCTAGTTATGAAACTGAGGCAGACGAAGTCGCGAGCAAAAACTAGTATATCCTACTAATATTATGATTGCGGAAGTTTGTGAGTGTGTGTGTATGTTTGTTACTTCTTCACGCTCAAACGGCTGAAGCGATTTTGATAAAATTTTGTGTACAGGAAGCCGACGTCCAGGAATAACACATAGGCTACTTTACATCCCGGAAATCCGCGGGTAACACCGCGGGGCGCAGCTAGTATACATATAATACTCACAGTTCCAACACGACGCACATACACTTCCCCCACTCGTAAGCGTCATACAGTTGTATGAGTCGCGGATGTCTCAACCTCCGCATAACATCCACCTCCCTCTCCACATTCCGCCTCTCATCTCTTCGGTTCACAGACACAAGCTTCGCAGCCAGCTCCAAGCCCGTACTCTTCTCACGACAGAGATATACCGTGCCGAATTTACCCCTGGAAATGTTTCGATTGTAACTAAAGAACTACTTTGTTACGTATTTATTATTGCCTAACATGGATTTATTTGTGTATTAGAAGAAATTAGAATTAATCAGTGGTGGCCTAGTGGTTAAAAGGCCCGGATATCATGCATGAGGGCGCGGGTTCAAACCTGGCATTTATCCGAGTCATATGTACTTTCTAAGAGATGTTTGATGTCATACAGGCGGCCGGTCGTTAAAACAATTAGCAAAAACTATTCACAACATGTAAGGCAGACCCTGGCTAGAGCTGGGAAATTGCCAGGTATAGAAGAGAGAAGGACAAGAAGAAATTAGAATTAAATCTATTTTAAACACATGTTTATTTGGTTAAGCACGATGAAATTTCTAAAAGATAGTCTTATCTTATTTTAACTTTTATCTTACAAGTTGGGAAATATTTCGAAATTGACTTATTGTAGACTAAAGATAAACTCAACAACTTATAATTGCTTTGCTCTAAAAGAAAAAATATATTTTATACATAAAAAATGCATATTTTTTTACTATTTAAGATAATAGCAATATTTCAATAGTAATTTTTATAGTAAAAATCTCGATCGTTATATGTAAATATTATTTTAATTATAATACATAGATATTTAAATGAGATATTTTAAGAACTTGTAAAGTTGGTTTATTGCAAAATATTTACTACGATTGTGGTTTTCATGTGCTCTAGAGGAGTCCAAATGAATATTTTTTACCTATTTTTATCCAAATAGTTTCCAATTTTATACATAATTATATAGTAAATAATGGTTTGTTTGAAATTTATATGATCGATTTTTCTGGAGCTGTTCTGAAAGCTTCAGGGTGTGATGATAACTCACCTCCCGATCTCTGAGAGCATCTCAAAGTAATCATTGACATCACTGTTCCTCTTGATAGTTACATCTCTACATGGAAACGGGGGCTCAATTTCTGTAATAAAATTCACATTATTTTCATTATGAAACTATAAAATATTGGAGAGAATTAATTTATGTAAAACTACCTAATGTGTTCGGATTACTACGTAATTTTATAAGCCATAGTAGGTTATTTTCAAATTAAGTTAGGTAGAGAGAGGAGCTTGGACAGTGGAGATGAGCGTTTAGAGCTCGTTAGAGGGGTCCCTAAACCTACACCTGGGTCGCAAGTCCCAGTCACTGTTGAAGCTTCTCTCACTACAACGATGGACCCGGCACCCGCACGGTGAATACATTGAATGATGAGAGGTTTCGTCTCATTTTAACCTACATACTCCCGACGTTTCGATTATTCTGCATCAACCGTGGTCATGGGTAGACAAAAAGTTTTTATTGTATCATTAAATCAGTGAAATCAAAAGTGACAAAAAAAAATCATGTTTTTTTACACTTTTTTGATGTGGCATACCTACTGGTTTAAAAATACTTTGATGATATTAAAGTAAATATGTTTTGTATAGTACGTTTGAATTTGATAGAATAAAGTGCATTTTTTTTTGTCATATATTATACTTTTTGGTTCATTTATAAGTATATGTTCCCATCAGTAACGGAAGTGTTACAAAGATGAAAGTGTTCGATCACCTCACTTCCTACTAACAGTAACTTCAATTGACATTTCACTGTTAATTAATACGATAGTTAAAGAACTAGATAATCACGTTCTTTAGAAAGTAATCTAGATATTAATTGTGACGTTTTTTGGCAACAGTTCAAGAATCTTCTGGTTTTGGTGCGAGTTATCTGAATTGTTTAGTCTCGTGTAATGGCGCCGTACGTCGCGTAATGTTTTTAGTCAACAGATTAACATTGTTAGTGTCATGAACTTAAAATCTTAGTTATTATGAACAATTTTAAATCGTCCAAAAAAATTTGGACATTAGCAGAATATTCCTCGACCCCAGTGCGAATGAAGCCATAGCTTAAAATTTGATTGATCGTTTTAAAAATAAACAAACGTTTGATATAATTTCAGCCAAGATTTTTGCAATTTGTTGGCATAATACAAAGCAACCTTATGCAGATTTGGGGAAAAAAATTGTAATTAAAAATCTTAATATTGAAAATATTATATAGTAGCTTCCTTGACAATGCTAAGTAGGTCCGCTTATGCTAAATAGTATTTAATTCGGAACACGCTGTGCATATGTATAAAATTAATTATAATAAGAATAATGAATGATAAAATACAGGTAGGTAGTTATTGTTTAAAATATTAACGATTTTATTTATCTACTTATGCATACATTTATGCCAAGGACTTTTAAAAATTGTTTACATTAAAAAAAATAATTTAACATTAGCTGTATAAATGCAATACAAGAGTAAAATATATATATATATTTAAATATAGAATAATTTGGGTTAGTTTAAAAGCGACCTTTATAATGAACGGTATTGATGATGCGAGGAATCTGTCTTTGAGAGACCCTCGAAGATTTATTAGAAGCGCGAAAAAAGACATACGTCAACATCTAAAATTTTTGCGTGTGTGTGTGTGTGTGAATGTCTCTGTGTGTGTATATAAACTAACATATTATGCATGTGTATGTGTGTGTGTACTTATATATATTATGCATGTGTGTGCGTACATTCAACTAACACAATTAAAGATTATGACTAATACGTAGGCGATTAGACCAGAAAATATTTCTGTTGAGTGTATCTCAAAATAATTGGTATGATTTATATATATTATTATTAGATTTGAAAGATAATGTTAGAACGTTTTATAAAATACGTACAGCTGAAAGAAAGCGTCATCCTACTTATAAATAAAAAAATTATTTTTTTCTTTAGAGATATTAATCAAAGTATCAAGTATGTAAAACTTCCCTCTTAATTTCTCTTAAGCTTTTACTTTGACATATAGTAATATAATAATATTCGAAAACGATTTTTATTTTATGAGGAAAGAATATATATTTTTTTAATAATGTCACTATAAAAATATAACATTTAAGATATTTTTTATATGTTAAGATTTATTTTATAATGTCTATGTAATGAATCACCAATGGTCTATATTTCTGAGATGAATGAGCTCTAACCTGTGCCTATTATAGATTAGGGATTGCGGATGTGACGTCACAACTTGTCATTGTTATGTTGGTAATATGTTATATGGATTGGAGGGAATCCAAAATTTATATATTTTTTCAATGTTTTTATTTTGGTTTTGTATTAAATTTGTCAGACGACATTATTTTAGTATTTTGCAGTATTCGTTTTTACAGAGTAACTATTAGATTTATAAAGATGATAACAAATAAATACTCGTCTCTTAAATATATATATTAAAAAAAAAACGTTCTAAAAAATTAATAGTTTTACTCAAACTTTGTTTTATTTAATATAATTATTGTGACTTAAAAAAATCAATCTTATTAATAGATATACTCAAAATAAAGGATTTTAATAATAAATTTATTTGCAACTGATAAAGTAGTTGCATCCTATGTGCATATACTGGAAAATAGTTTTTAAATAGCAAAAGTTGTTTGTATTTTTATGAGACTATTTTAATTTATATAAAGTTCACTTATATATAAATAATTTTAGTTGAAAAATGGTTATACTATTCTACTATCTATAATTCTATGACTTTGTTAAAAAGTCAAGTATTGGATTTTGTACCCATTAAATATTGAAATGTTATCAAATTAAAAAGTATATTTATATAATTAATATTAATTAATTATAATTAATTAATTTATATTTTATTATTGACGTAATTATGAGTCCAATGGTCAGTGATATTAAAAAGTATTATAAGGAAAAAACATACATATATATTATATTTTCATTTGTTTATATTGTATACTAGTTTTTGCCCGCGACTTCGTCCGCGTTAGCTTCGTCATTAGTAATATATGTGTAGCTGGCCGGGCGAACTCTATTCCGTTTTCGAGGCCATTAATAATCAGGTTTTTCCTGTTTCAATCGAACAGAATGATTGACATATTAGTTAGTTGTCAAATCTAATGTCAAAGAAAACGTTTGTATGGGAAATAGAAAAGGGCTGTTTTTAGGGTTTTCCCGGAAATGAATCAATTTTTTTCAGCTTTCAAACCTTCCCTGAACCTCCACGAACATTTCAAGACTAAGATAAGATAAATCCGTTCAGCTGTTCTCGAGTTTTAGCGAGACTAAGGAACAGCAATCCATTTTTATATATATAGAAGATTATAATAAGTTTTTATTTAATATAAACTAGCTTTTTCCCGTGACTTCGTCTGCGTTAGTTCCAAATTACAAATACAGTGTAAACTCTATATAACGACACTGAAGGGACCGTGCATTTTAGTGCGTTATAGAGAGTTGCCGTTAAATAGAGGGAAGAAAAATCAGAATTAGAAAAAGACAAAGTTTGTTTCAGACTACTGTTAGTACTTATGTACATAAAAAAGAATGTTATAACGTCTGTTGTTTTTGTTTGACGTGTTTTGCTGCACCAGTAATGTTGTTGTATTTTTTACGTATTTTATTCATATCTTGCGATATTGAGGCATATTGGTGAAGAACGAATTTCTTAGAAAGTTTGGTATGCATGATTACGACAGTCGTGTTTATTGCGGGCTAGGATAACAAAGCGACAAAAAAACGTACACAGCTGCGCATTTTCTACTAATTTTAGCAACTTAAAGGGTACTTTTTATTACTTAATTTTGTTGTTATTGAGAGTGTCTGTGACGCTATATAGAGTGTATCATTGTATGGTAGACAAGCTAAACCAACCAAAGTCAAATGATTTCGACGCTTTAGAGAGTTTGTCGTTAAATCGAGTGTCGTTATATGGAGTTTACACTGTATATAGTTTATGGGCGAACTCTGTTCCTCCTTAAAGGCAGTAAATAAGAATTTGGATTTTATCAAATAGTACTTTCCTTCTTCTTATTGCCAAAGACCGTCCAAAGTGGAGGAGTTTAAGCAAGAATACAGACCCTGGCTAAAGCTGGAAAATTGCCAGGAAGAAGAAGTATTTTTCTTCTTCGATGACGTGAAAAATATTTTATGTCCTTTCCCTTGTTCTAAACTATCTCTCCACCAATTTTCAGCCAAACCCGTACAGCCGTTCTTGAGTTATAAATAGTGTAACTAACACGATTTTCTTTTATATATAAGGTATAACTGTGAAATGTCAATTCGTATAAATTCTATAGTATGTATATTGAATGTCGCCGGAGCACTCACGAATCTAAAATTAAGATGGATTCCGATCTTCTGCCAAAAAACTTATTTGTTTATTAAGCGAATATTGTTTTAAATGTTCCATATCAGATGCGTGTGACATAAAGATTACAATTAGTATATATATATATATATATATATATATATATATATATATATATATATATATATATATATATATATATATATATATATATATATACTCGTATATATATATATATATATAGAGAGAGAGAGAGAGAGACAGACGAAGCTTCTCATCATTCAATGTATTCACCGTGCGTGTGCCGGGTCCATCGTTGTAGTGAGAGGAGCTTCAACAGTGACTGGGACTTGCGACCCGGGTGTAGGTTTAAGGGGCTCCTATCTAACGCGCATTAAACGCTCACCTCCACTGTCCAAGCTCCTCTATATATATTACTAGTAAGTTTTATTATAATATTTACCTCCAACCGGATCTGTTTCGTCCACGTGGATCATATCGGATGATCTGAGAAAAAAAAAAGAGAAAGTTATTTAACAAGTAATAAAAAAAAACATTTATTTAATACAGACATCGTCAGATGTAGGTATATGTATAGTATTTAATTATATAACGAGTCAAATTGACACACCTTTACTTTGGATCGCTACTGAATATAGTGACGTCATTCTAAATCCAAAATGGCGGAACATTCCAAGATGGCGAACTAACATTTTCATATGTGAATTTGACATTACTTAACAGCATAGTCTTTTATAGTATATATAGCAGTAATATAAAACTTTTCAGTACACAAGAGAAACATTAACCATTATATCTATGTATGGCGTAATTACTATGAGAATTTAGAAGAGTATTAAAATATATAATATAATATATTTATTAAGAATCTGTATAAGGACGTGATAAAACAATCCTCTGGTTGAATCATCTCAATTTAATCTGATTCTAACCCATACTTGAAATATTATAAACGATCTTAAGGATAAATATAAAGATTAATTTGTCTGTCCATAATATAGATAGATGTTTTTGTTTAAAAGCTAGTGGAGTCGCGGTATGTATATATGTTTTCACAACTTGTATATACATTATTTGGAACTGTTTCAATTAATTACGTGTTAAATTCTGTTCAAGTATTTTTTATTAGGAGACGATATTAACACACACACACACACATATACAGGGTGACTGGTGAATTACTATCGATACTTGAGGACGTGATATTTGACGATCATATATGACAAAATAAAAATTAATATAACATAAATATTAATAAACTTCTGAGTAAAGTTAACCAAAAGTTATGTAATTAATTACGCATCGTGTGCACACCCTACAGATTAGGTATAGACTCACACACACATACGCGTGTGGCGGCGTAGTGTTGTATCAGCACGCCGCCGCACGCGTCCACACTTGGAACACTTGGAACGTGTCAACACTTTATTTATTTATACGGAAATTTTGTCAAAAATTAAGTGCCTAATTTTTTTACATAATTCGAATGAGAATCATGTACTGAGTATTCTCCTAAAATATTGATAGTAATTCACCAGTCACCCTGTATATATGTATATATACTAGTTGTTCTTACACGATCTAGTAACATCTTCATACATTTATCATAAGCATTTTTTCTATACATTATATACGTAATATATAGGTCTGTCTGTTCAAGGACACTCTTTGTTTACAAGTCTCCAACTTGTCTATATAATTAACTCAACATCTGGGTCAAACATTCGGGTTTATTCGCGGCGACTTTAATATTACGAGTCTATATAAAATTTAGTTTATGTATATATAAAAATAATACATATTAACAAACAGTAAGATATACTTTAAGAAGTATATAAATGAATACCATTACGTACTAATAAACGACATGAAATCAGGAATTAGTTTTGAGAGGTAGCTTGAAAGAGATATGTTAGTGTGATGTAAGCGTTTTATGAGAAGAGATACAACAAATAGAGAAGAGAAGAGAATGTAGTTACATACAAGAGTAGAGGAAGATGATGGATGGTGTACTGTAGAGAAGTACGTACTGAGAACATGAGGATGTGCAAACAAGCAGATACGATGAATATTTTCGTACAACAAAAGCGTTGAACACAATAATTTTGTATACACTTATTCTCAGTTACACCCTATTCTTTACTATATAAGTAAATTAAGGTACTATATATAATATTTATTCAAGTAAAACTCGTTTCAACAAAGACCTGTTGTCTACATTCAAGTCGAGACATCCAAATAGGTGTTGTTGTTATACAAACTTATTTTTATGACTTTATATGTATTTAATATCGTATGTCCGTGTGTATTTTGTACTATTACCACTACCACGGTTTCTTAGTCGAATGTACTTTTATTAAATCGAGTACTTAGTAAGTGAGAAAAACTAGAAGCTAGTTAATTTTGCAATGCAAACTCGTGGTAAGCTTATAGCACTACTGTTTTTTACTATCAGTCTTATTACCTTAATAAATAATAATCCCATACTATATGTAAATATGTTTTTTAATAGATTAAAAATTCTTATTGAAGACGAAATATTACGCGTTTTAAGTCGTATTATTGTTAAGTAAGTTCAAACTTTAATATTATAATATATAGGGTGATTTGCAATTTGATTTTATGAAAGTAATATTGACAATAAATGCATTAATTATTACATTTTTGATTTATATTACCTTTATTAACACATTTTAAAAAAAGTGTCTTCTGTATCATTAAGATAATATACAATTTTATTAAAATTAATATTTAAAAAAATATCATTATCATTGGAAGATAAAATTGTTATTATTTAATATACGTATAAATAAACATATGTACTTTCTTATTCATATTCCTATTATTGTGATTTATTTATCTTTTGGGTTTAATATAAGATTAGTGAAAAAATTTAATTAAATTCGTTATCAAAATGCTATATTCCTTACATTGCATCGCTTAACATGTTATAAAAGTATTTCTTATCTGAATCGAGAAATAATATATATATGTATATATATATATATATATATACAGAAACGAAACTTTTCATCATTCAATGTATTCACCGCGCGGGTGTCGGGTCCATCGTTGTAGTGAGAGGAGCTTCAACAGTGCTTGGGACTTGCGACCCAGGTGTAGGTTTAAAGAGTCCTATATTATAAATATCTTAAAATATATCGATATACCTAATACATTGCAATTCCTGGATACGTCTTTATTTTATTATTATTTTTATCATAAATCTCAAATTACGAAACGTTCTATTACATATATTTTATAAAAAACTAAATAATAAGATTATTAAGCATTGTTAGAACATTTAAGTTATTCTATTAATAAGAAATTTTCTAACATATGTACTAAAGTTGTTTTCAGAAGCCTCATCGTAGAATGAATCTAGACTAACTCCCGGATTCAAGTCTAGTATCACTGTCTCAGCGAGAGTAGATTGAGATCAAAATACATCACAACATTCACTAAGACTTTTACTAGGAAATTATATATAAAGAAACGAGTCACGGTATATGTTTAGTATAACAAATTATTAGTTGATTCATAGTAATTAAATTATAGTCTTTAAATTGAACTTTAGGTTCAGGTTTACATTTTGAGACGTATTATAATGTAACATAGAATTGAAATTAAGTATTTAAATTTTCACATAATAAAAACTATAGTTTTTATATGCATAATAAATATATTTGACATTGAAATTGTGTTGAAATAAATACATTGAAGTGTTGTATTGTAATTGTAATAACTTAAAACTTTAATATTTTTCTTAACAATTTACTGTATACTAATTACTAAGATATTTGGATTACTTTATATATTTTTTGTTGGTCTGGGTGCTGGTAAAAATATAACAAGTCGTATTTTAAAAAATATACCATTATAATTAAATAAACGCCTATATTTCTATCGACAAACTCTTATTTGTGTTTTCTCCACACAGTGTTCAAGATTTTTTCGTCCAATTTTTTCGTCCAAAGTGTTCAAGATTTATTCGTCCAACGAATGAAAACGTCGACATTGTCAGAATATTCATCGATTCCAGATCGAATGAAGCCATAGCATTAAAAAAATTAAATGTATAAAAAAAATGTTTGAATTTCATTACGTAATAATCCATTCATTTAAAGATTTTTTCATTCCGTATTATGGCTCAGCTGAAATATTTTCCCATTTTAAATAGATATTTATATCAATCAAGGAAGTGCCAACGTCTGGTCGTATAACATCGTGGACTTCTATTCAACGTTTTAGCATTCTATTGGCATCTGATTGGCAATAAATTTTGTACGTACGTCAAAAGCTGCACACGTTATACTAATATTAACGTATTTAATTATCGAGACAATTAAAATAGGAACAAAGATGTTAGTTTTTGTATATATATCCCTACTAATATTATAAATGCGTAAGTAACTCTGTCTGTCTGTCTGTTACGCTTTCACGCCTAAACCACTGAACTGATTTTAATGAAATTTGGTACAAGATGGAGTTAACCTCGAGAAAGAACATAGGATAGTTTTTATCCCAGACTTTTGAAAGGTTCTCTTGGAAACGCGATATAACTGAACTCCACGCGGGCGAAGCTGCGGGCGGAAAGCTAGTACTATATAATTATCAATATATTAATATTTTACACTTAATATTATTCTTATATATAAAATTGTAACTGTAAAAATAATCAAGTTATTCCTAACTTAAACTGTCTTTAAGTAAGTCCCATAAAAGTTTTCCTAAGAGTTTCAGATCTGAAATAGACAAACAGACAGACAAAATTTGAACCAAAAAATTATTTTTCTATATACAGAATATATCTATATAAATTAAATTAAATGTTATTTTATTATAAAGCAACACTTAAATTTAATTTCAATTGCTTCAGTCTGTCTTTGTGCGCGTAATACATATCTATTGTATTATTTTGAATACAACGTCACCGATTGTAATTGTATAGAGCCTTGTAATAATTATAATTACCGATGCTACTCTATTGATACTGTTTACACAGTGGGGAAATAAAAGTTACACGTATTACGACTGACAATATAATGCACGTATTGAAATACTTGAGAATATTTTTCAATAAAAAAATACGTAAAATGATACTAATATTCTTCGGATTATTGCAAAAAACTACATAATTTTGAGTACTTTTCAGCAATCGTGATTACGGACAGACGAGATGTGAAAAAAACGATAAAATCTATATACGTATATAAAAATGAATTGCTGTTCCTTGGTCTCACTAAAACTCGACAACGACTGAACGGATTTATCTTATCATAGTCTTGAAATGTAGTGGAGGTTCAGGGAAGGTTTAAAAACTGAATTTTTTTTATTAATTTCCGGGAAAACCCTAAAAACAGCGCTTTTTTATTTCCCATATAAACGGTTTTTTGACATTAGATTTGACAACTAATATGTCAATCATTTTGTCGCACTTCAGAACACGGAGATTTATGGCTTAAAGGTAAACACC